GCACTGCTCTTGCTAGGGTCAGTGTTAGCAACTCTCCGGTTGAGCCCCGTGAGCTCATCTACAAACGTTAGGGTGAAGCTGAAATAGCCTCTCAAGGCTATCAGCATAGGCAGGAAAAAATATATATATTCCAGTTTAAAAAAAATTTATCTCCAGTTTATAAAGTACGAAGATTCATATTTTAAATTCCGTATTTCAAACCTTATTCGTGGAGTGTTGTGGTCAGCTAATTAAAATGAATTACTATGTGCTTGCTGCTTATGATTCAATTTTAATTTTTTTAACCTTATTTTTTATTTATTATAATATCAACAGGGATGCAGGGATACAATCCATTACTTAGTCACATTGCTGTGGAAATTTTGGGCTTTATGATAAAAAATTCATTCACTTTGGCCGACAAGAAATGGTGGAAAACCATTTTTAGTAATTTCAATCTAAACTAGTCAGATACAAATAGTATCCTAAAATAAGTACCTAAAATAAAAAGTAAAATCCTTTTTCTCTAATCTAATATTTCAATCTAATATAAATAATAAAAGCACCAAAGTTTCGATTATATTAAAGAAAAAAAAAACATTTTTTAATTAATAAAATTAAAGCCGTGTTCGGAGTGAAAGGTTCAAAAAAAATCTTATGGAAACTTTAAAACGAATCTAACAAAGCTAATATTGGGAGAGCTAAACAAACAAAAACCTCTCTCGAATCTCAGATTTGCTTTGATTTCAAAAATAAATTAAAATTTCACAAAAAAGCAAAGTCTTCATGAACTGAATTGGAAAACATAAGAAAATTAAATATTATTAATTCACTTTGTTAAATAATATAATGTTAGAATTTTATTTCTTTTACCGTCTAACGGCTATATGGTATATATATTTATGTATGTTCTTCGGTTTACGTTAATCGTAGATGACGTAATTAAAATTACATACTTTGAATTTAATAGTGGTGGTAGGACCTCTTGTGAGTCCGCGCGGGTAGGTACCACCACCCTGCCTATTTCTGCCGTGAAGCAGTAATGCGTTTCGGTTTGAAAGTTAGCAATCGTAACTATACTTGAGACCTTAGAATTTATATCTCAAGGTGGGTGGCGCATTTACGTTGTAGATGTCTATGGGCTCCAGTAACCACTTAACACCGGGTGGGCTGTGAGCTCGTCCACCCACCTAAGCAATAAATAAAAAAAATCTACTTCATCATCAAACGACTACCGGATACGTTAAAGTCGACCTGCTGATAGATGATACCGCTGTAACCACGAGCAACAAAATTGCTTCACCACAAAGTAAGACAGAATGTCCACCATTCTGTCTTACTGTGTGGTGAAGCAATTTCGAGCCATGTGTGGTTAGTGTGAATTTTTTAACGTTTTCGATAGCGTAAAAGCTAACCAAATTTGTATGCGGTTGGAACAGTAGCGGCAAACGTAGGTAAACGTTCCAACTACCCGTGTGGGCTCATATTACGCCCTACCACGTATAGTTGTTTTTTTTCTGCCTACGCACGTGTACTGCTGTTTACATAGGCCCACCCCATACGAATAGTTACACCGATTCATATTTTTTGTCGATTTCACGATAGTATTCCTTCATCGCGAAAATCGGCGTTTATTAATAGAATAATAAAAGAACATTACTTATAATATATATACTCGTAATAGTTACAAATTAAAGAGCGGACGGTTAGCGTGGTATGGACATGTGATGCGTAGAGAGAAGATGCATGTGTCTACGAGATGTATGGAAATGGTAGTGCAAGGTGGAGGGGAAAAAGGTGAAAAGAATGGAAGAGAAAAAATATCTGTGCTAACCCCACCTAGTGGGATAAGGTCAAGGAAAAGAAGAAGAGACGAACATTACTTACATTCTTTTTATTTGCCTGCCGCATTTGAGACAACAGTAGAACTACTATGTATTTACTGGTTTACTGAATACCAGTAAGCCACTCGTCTTACCAAACAAGACCTTTATCAAGGCGAAATCTAAAGTACCTACCAATTATTTGTCTGTTTACGACGAGCTAATATCAAATTACTTCAAAAAACAGAATCAGGGTTGGATTTCTTCGAACTAGGTAATTATCTGTTATCCGATATTTATTCAGAGAGAAAGTTGGGAAAGTTCCTTTTTTTTCTACGAAGATTCGTCAACAGAAAGCTCTTGATCCTAAAGGACCTTTCCAGGGAGGGACACGTCTAAAAATAAAAGTTCCAAGTTTGGCGGAGCCTGACCAGGGGCCGGGCAATATTTTCTTTCATAAACTTTTGTTGTTTGTTGCCCTGGTTTCTTTTTATTGAAATTGGATTTATAGCTGCTTTAAATATGTATTTTGGTCCCTTTTAAGGCCTCAAGGATTTCTTTGGCATTCTTTCCAAACAAAAAAACAATGCGCAATAAGACACATTGATGGAGTAAAAGATGCAGGAATATGATTAGGTAGTACGTTCAATTATAAAGCACAGGTTACATCACAGGTAGAATTTTAATTAAAATAAAACCGGGAAAGGAAAGATTTTTAGCAGCAAAGTTTTATTTACAAAAATCTGACTTTCCGGTTACAATTTCAACTAGACTCCAATACACTGAACCAAGAAACAAAACTAGTACGGTCTCTCTGTCACTTTAAGTCAAACTAACAGAGTCTTCGCACGAGATGCAAATTATAATTATTATTAAAAGTACAATAAACTTTGCAACTATATTTATGTATTTAATACAATAACAATGACGATATTTTTGGAACGATGTATGGTTTTTCACATCTCCTATTCTAAGTGCGTTTTTTACTTTTTTATTTTATTTATTGCATAGATGGGTGGACGAGCTCACAGCCCAACTGGTTTTAGTGGTTACGTTGCGTACGCATTTACGGCGCAACGTAAATGCGCCACCCACATTAAGATATAAGTTCTAAGGTCTCAGTATAGTTACAACGGCTGCCCCAGCCTTCAAGCCGAAACGCATTACGGCTACCACTGAATACTTTCCACAAGCTCTCTGCCTACCACTGAATACTTTCCACAAGCTTGGTTTTGAAATACATGAAGCACTCGGGAAATATCGTGAAGGGTAGTTCATTACAGAGCCGAATGGTGCGTTGCACAAAACCTTGAAACGCACTGTCGATGAACGCAACGATTCCAGATAGTGTGGATGAACTCTGCTTCATTGGCGGTGCGGAACTAAAAAGGAGATGGAGGTATCATCTTCAACAATTCCTCAGAGCACTCGCCATGATACAAAACACGAGAGAACCAAAGTCCCTCCGTAGATCCTTAGGTAGGACCGTAGGTAGGTAGGATCGGTCTTAAACGATCCGTGAAAACAGGACTATCGACAATCCGAACGGCCCTCTTCTCTATGGAGCAGATATAATCAAACTACATTTATATAAACTTAAATAACAAGCGGTGAGCTTGTTGTTGATATTCCAATGATTATCCATACTATATTGAACGACCACGCCTATTTTTGGGGCGGACGTGGTCTAACAAGCAAGACCCTGCTGTATTTGGTTCGAATGATGAGACACTACCAGGACTGATGTCCTGGGGCGTGCAATTTTTTTTAAGTAAATAACAGGCGTTGCCATCCTCACCTAAGCAACGAACTAAAATCTGGGCTTGTTACCTGGAATAGTCATACGTTTTTTTTTATTGTTAGTTTACTATTGGCCCTGAGGTCTTACCAGTGTCACCAGGATAGGTGGGCAAGCAAAGACTCAGCCCGGAGGGGTGGGATTTGCTAACAGCTGCCGGAGCGCCTAACAACTCAAGAGCAGCTGCTTCGCGAATGAATCTACTACAGGAACGGAATCGCAACCCGCTGAGAAGATCCGGCGAGAAACTCAGTGAGCTGATTCATGGGTTAGGCAGTCATACATTCAGCCACGAAGAGTTTCGATCGGTGTCAGTATTACAATACAATTTATAGTTTTATCTCATCTTTTTTTTCATTCTCTCTCTCCTTTTTTTTGCTTTGATTTTTCAAATGTTTACGTATAACAAATATATATAACATATATATAACAAATAACTTATCCGTGGCCACGCAAACTTTTAAATCTTCGAAACGTCTCTAATAATATAAAGACAATAAATAAAAACACGCAATTCTTTATTTAAATAGCATTAATGATTAGTTTTATTTGGTTACATTGTATAGGCGATGGTGTTCATTTAACGCCGATTGGGCTTTCAAATCGTCTACGCAGAAAAAACAACTTATATATTCAGTTTATACAAAAATATAAACAGAATAAAAACCAATATTGTAGTTCGATACGTGCCTATCGGTTGTTAATTTGTTTTCAGAGCTATCGCCGAATATAATCCGGGGATAAGCTCCAATTTCAAAGAGATAATCTATCGATCAATCGAATCGAGAGGGCACAAACGATGAATGTTTGTATGTATTGTAGCCTGTATCGCACAGATCTTACCTGCTACTGCAGTAAGGGAAGGTAATACGGTAATAATAACACATAGTATCACGACCTCACATCGAGGGCTGGTATTTTTTTAATTATCTATTTAACATAAACGAATGAGATATTTCGTGGTATTCACTAATTATTGGTACACATAGAGCTTACATATTTTTTTCTCAACTGATCTCATGAATTGATATGGATCGCGGGATCTACAGAATAATATGTACGTTGTGGCATCTGTGCTCAGATTACAGCTTTATATCAGGTAAGGCGTGATCTCACCTGCCCATACAGCAAACACGTGAATAATTGAGACATCCTTGATGTTCACACAAAAAATATCGACATAACTTCAAAACAAATTGTAGTCCTATAACTTCCTTCCGTCCTGAATGTTATGAAACAGAAAGCCTCGTACCGTAGAACTCATTAAAAACACATTAAACAGTGCTTAGCTCGTATCTTAAACAGATAAATAGATCGTAAAGCCCCTCTTCGTAATCTAGGTTCACTAAAGCATACACAGACGTCACATTGATGCAGTACGGGACACGATAGATACTTACAGTCGCTCGTTCAGCCAAACTATCCACGCCCATCATAAAAACACTGTTTATCACATATTATTTGAAACGATTTCAACGCGATTATTAGTTTTGCTGGGGGCTTTTTGTGGGTTTCAGCCGCGCAAATGCGGCCGTGCCAATCTGCCCATCGTTATGTGAAGTACTGAGCGGTGTAGGGCGGGGCACACCGGGTTCCTGTATCGCTATCGACGTTAATGAGTTTGATGTTGATTTTTTCATATTTTGCTATATTTTTTTAATGTAAAGGCGAGGTGCTTGTGCCTATTTGAAGGGAGGATAGACGTTGTACAATTGAAAATCCGACCTCATATCTTCATCTAGGGAATATCATGGGGCGATATGTATGAACACTATTAACCACGCAACTTGTATGCCATGACCTTGATAAGTTTTCAACCAATAACTTAACATATTTTCAATTCCATTGCTGCATATAAAAGTCTCTGCATCCAAATCCGATTTTGATTTTGAAGGCATAAACTGTCTGATCATGGTCTGAAGATAAAAATTACAAATTAAAAGCATCGATATTTTTACCAAATCACATCTCTACGCTTCTTGATGCTGCGCGCGTCGCTCGGCCCGTACCACCTCACACCTTCATCTTATAAGGATATGCTATTTTAAGCTTTCAGGCCATGAAATATAGTAGATTTTCGGTATTCACTGCCGTTGTTCGTCATCGCGATGCAGTGTAAGCGATGAGCGAAACGTTGCAGATCTGTTCTGTTATACTTCTTTTGAAGCATTCGTTTGTAGCACGAGTTTGGAATTTAACGTATCTGCTCCTTGTTGACGTTTAATAACAAGAATAAAGTATACAATTGGTAGAGTCGAAAAATCCAAAATATTGTTACGCGTTGAGGTTAGGGATAAATAAAAATTCTACCGAAGTATAAATTAAAACTGTCATTATCACTTAGAACACTTTAAAATTTTCAATTCGCTGCTTCCCCTTCGCTTCAGGTGATCCGTTTGCTGTTGCGTTTAGAGTAGTTCCGATGACTGACTGCGTGCCATCTCCGCAACGCCTTAATAGCCGATACGACATCCCTAGAATTGTCGAGAACATTCCTCACAAGTCGAGTATTTTCGATGTGTGTGTTTCCGCTTTCTGACAATAGATGGCGTTTATATTTCTCGACCTCTCTAGATCCTTCGATATTCGTTCGGGTATTCGGCAATAGATGGCGCTACTTTTACCGGCATAACAATATTTTTGTTAATCTTCCTAAACGTGTATGTTAAGGGAAACTATCAGATTCCTAAGAACACATTAAGGCCACACGATAGTTAGATCTAGATTTTAACAGGAAAAATACTTTAGCAGACCATCAAACATTTAATATAAGTCCACGTACTCTCTTTCATTGCGTAATTCTTGTTCATCCGATAGTCGAAGAGATCTTTTCTATTTCTAGATTTTTTTTATTAGGACGTAAGATTTTGATGTACCACTTTACTCTTTATTTACAATACCAAAAAGCCTTCATTCAGTTGTACATTACCTTGAGCTTCGACCAATTTTGAACTTTCATGTATTCTATTTGTAATAGAATTGTGACTTAAGCCTTATGACTCAAAATAGGAGGCCGCATCCACGTTACGATGTCTATGGCCTCTAGTCACCTATGTACATCAGCTAGACCATGAGCCCGTTCAACCATATGCTAAAATAAATAAATATGAAATATATTTCACATGGGCCGGTACCAATATTCTCCGCAATTATGTTATGAAGTCCCAATAAGAAGGCCATATTTTTAGAGATTTCCGCCTCACATCTCAAGCCCCATAAGGTGGTATTCACATTGTGAAGTCTATTTTCTTCCAATGGTCCGTTAAAGGGTTGTCAGTAAAGTCGTTAGCCAATAAAATAAATGAAGAAAAATCTGTATGTCTTGTAACTTGCACGTCAGGCTGAGGGTAGTAGTACGGCGCGAGGTCGTAACATTTACTTCGTACTTTACTATCGCTTTCAATATGTCTACAGCCGAAATGTCAACCCGATGTAGATTGATACGTTTGAAACGTTCCAATGACAACTTTTTGGCGGAAAATCGACTTTTTTTTAGCATCTTCGAACCCATTGATATATCTGTCGAAGTTGTTATTACTTTTACCGAATTCGAAAAAGATGAGTTCATCGTTTTTGTTTTTATACGAAATTAGTTTCGTTATTATTGATAGAGCGTACTGTGTGCTCACGGGTAACTATCACTATCTTCTGTAGAGCGGTATTTTACGCTTTGAACTCATTTCAGTGAGAGGCGATTCTCGCGTTATGATTTCTATGGACTTTGACAATTCTACACCTATTACAGTGGATCGAGATCTATTTTACCCATCATATCCATATATATACTAAAAACTAAAAAAAATTTCCCTACCTATTTTAGTAACCTCGAGGGGTTATACTAGACTAGCTGACCCGGCAGACTTCGCAGTGCCTCAACCGATAAATAAAAGACCTAAACTTTTGTATAAAATAAACTTAAAACAAACAAAAGGAATCCGTCCGACGGGGGACACATCAAAGGAAATACAAAATTGTTATTTTTATTTAAGTCCGAGCATTTTCATATTTATCTACCTTTTAAACCTTCTCTGGACTTCCACAAATAATTCAAGACCAAAATTAGGCAAATCGGTCCAGCCGTTCTCGAGTTTTAGCGAGACTAACGAACAGCAATTCATTTTTATATATATAGATTACACGACGACTCGACTGTACTAGACTATATTTCCTAGATTATGCTAGATTACGACTACAGAGCGAGTACGTGAGCTTCTGCGCTCTAACCTGACAAATGCTATAAGATACAGCACTAACTTCTTGTTTTATCGGAAGCCCGCAAAGCGTGATGCCACCATCCTACCTATTTTTGCCGAAAAATATACCCGTTCCATTTTGAAGATACGGCAGCTGGGTACGGAAAGCTAAGTACGGAACAGTGGCTAAGCAAAGTGAATACAACTAATGAACAGTGTGCTTAGTGCGAGTTTTCTAACGTTCTCGATAGCGTAAAAGTTAGCTCATATTCGTATGGAATGGGATCGTTTGCCTACGTTTGCCGCTAGGGGCGCTGTTCCAACTGCATACAAAATTGGGTTAACTTTTACGCTATCGAGAACGTTAAAGAATTCGCACTAAGCGCACTGAGCTATTTCAGGCATTCCGTTCTTGAGATACCTACCTAAAAACAGTATTAAAATGACCCGAATACCAAATCCGAAACATAGATCTGAACTTTTATCACTTTCCTGATCGACGCAAAAAAGGGCTCGTAAAAAAGAAATAATCGAATTCTTGTAGTTTTTTTGTAAACGTAATAGAAATTATATTATGATTATCTAAATCACAACGACTAATTGTTAAATTTACTAAGAATAACAAAAAGATAATTGAAGTCTTATAAAGTCTTCGACCACTGTTGCGCTAACAGTGCAACCTGCCTGTTTCTGCCGTGAAGCAGTAATGCGTTTCGGTTTAAAGGGTGGGGCAGCCGTTGTAACTATACTGAGACCTTCGAACCCAGATCTCAAGATGAGTGACGGCATTTACGTTGTAAATGTCTATGAGCTCCGGTGACCACTTAACATCAGGTGGGCTGTGAGCTCGTCCACCCATCTAAGCAATAAAAAAATAAAAATAAAAATGTTTTGGGGTGATATCACGTCATAAACTTCAGTATACTATTGGTAAACTTATCATTACGTCACAAATGACGTACGACTATTCGATTGTAGGATGAAACTATAAAAATGCTGGTTTAAATCGGGACAGTAAAGTTGTAAGCCGTTAAACATCATGAGCCTGCAGAAACATTGGCTGGATTAGATACTGGCCAGGCTTCAATGTATTGTATGGTAATCCGGAGTGGGCGGGAAAATGGTGCAAATTGCACCTAATGCATATTTACCACTACATATAGGTCAAATCGATAACGTTTGAATGTCAAAGGCCATGGCGTTTTGCCATAAATATACAAAGCAAAAAAGCCGTTTATTTTGACGCAAAGCAGCATTACCATTGGAGTTACTTCTGTATTCCGTTTCCAATTGGACGACAGCATGAATATCTATTATTTCCATGAATAGCTAAACATCCGATGAATTGTGAGATCTTTCACTTGCGTTAAATTACTGAAAGCATTCATTTTTCAGTATTCGTCTTAGCCTAAAGAAATCTATTTCTTTAACCAAACATAATATATCTTAGGTTAATAATATATATTAGTTTAATAATATATATTTAAGGTAGAAATATTGATTTACAAGTTTGCGTAGTTAGTAAAGAAAGTATCTGACCGCCTGGGACCAACTATAACTTGCTACTCGTAAGGTAATTAGAGATTATAGCTACTAATAGATAAACACGCATTTTTGTGATAACAGAGCAATGTGAAGACAATTTGCCATGGAGCCTCATAAATAATGTTTCGACGGTTCTTCTGAGGCATTTGAAAATTAAAACATTTATTTTCTTTTAATCTTTTTTTTTTAACTTTGTTTTTATTCAGCGGCTTGACTATTGACTATCTTTATATTGCTCACGTACGCAAGGTGAAAACATAACCACAGATTAATACATAGTTACTACACGCAACGTTTCTCTAGTTAGGCCGTCTGCTGTCGGTGACAATATAACTCGATTTTGCTGCTAATGAAATTATTTATGCTAATCGTGTAACAAGTAGTTCTTCTATTGCACTAGATTGGAAGATGAGCTTACGGTCCAACCCGTTGAAGTCTTTATCGGAGTCCATTGACATAACACCGTATCGCAAAACTCCTTGAGACATGAATAAGTCTCAAATGTATCGTTGCAATGACTGTCCCACCACTCCTTCAATTCAAGCCGGAACAGGTTACTACTTGACGGCAGAAATATGCAAGACGGTGGACCAATGTAGGCACTCAAAACGCTAACACATTAATAATAATAAAATATTAATTTACTACAAAAAATTTTACTACAAATTACCTCGTACAAAATCATGTCCAGTTTCGTTTTATCGGTCACCTGTTGCACTGTTTTTCCGATTTAAGAAAGCACAGGATTTTATATTGACAAAAAAATGAACTGTTTTTCAAATCGTTTTTTTTTTTCGAATAATTTGAAGATCTAAATAGTCTTTTAAGAAAATTATGTCGACTTTTAGATACGGCGTCAACTGCTCCGACGGCCGCAGGAACTCGCGTCTCGGTCGCGACTGCTAAGGGCGGCCGACTGACCGAAGGCGGGGCGCCCAGGACGAGAGCAGATTTTAATCCACTTAAAGTTTCCAATAACATAGCCGCTACGTAATTTGCAGCTCCTCAAAAAGCCCGAACACAGCACATAGCTACTATCGTGTACGTGTAATAAAAATCAAACTCGCAAAATTATAATTTGCGTAATTACTGGTGGTAGGACCTCTTGTGAGTCCGCGCGGATAGGTACCACCACCCTGCCTATTTCTGCCGTGAAGCAGTAATGCGTTTCGGTTTGAAGGGTGGGGCAGCCGTTGTAACTATACTGAGACCCTTAGAACTTATATCTCATGGTGGGTGGCGCGTTTACGTTGTAGATGTCTATGGGCTCCAGTAACCACTTAACACCAGGTGGGCTGTGAGCTCGTCCACCCATCTAAGCAATAAAAAAAAGCTACTTATAAATCTATGTATCGATTTAATTCGCAGCATTACTTTAATTTATATCAAAAAGTTTTGACAGGGGTCTTTTGAGCTTGCCGCTATGCATATTCGTTGTAGATTTAAACTTAAAGGTTAGCTTAAAGCTTTAGGTAAATATTGATGCATAGGTATATAGCTAATACCACATAGAGAATAGTGAATTCTAGTTGCAAACTAATCTTAATTTAATTGTTCTTAAAAGAGAGAATATTGGATGTTCTACTTACTTACTGCTTTCATGAGAATATACCTAGTCAGGTCATAAGTATTGTCACACAGTAAAAACTTTTCTTTTAGAATGCTGGCCACAAAAAAGTTTATTGAATTCGAATTTCGAATTGTTCATGAAAATAAAAATGTATACTTTTAGAATTTTCACTCATTTTTAAATATGGAGTGGACGCTTAAAGAAGACCGTGTTGCAGTTATTGCGTTGCATCGTTGCGGTTACGCGCCAATTCAAATTTTTAACATACTGAAAAATTTGAATATAACCAAAAGATTCGTTTATCGTACCATCAAACGATACAATGAAGACTCTAGTGTAGATGACAGGTCAAGAAGTGGTCGCCCTCGGTCTGTTAGGACTCCAGCAGTGATAAAAGCTGTGAAGGCGCGAATTCAAAGAAATCCCAAACGTAAGCAGAAACTGTTGGCCCTTCAGATGGGGTTAAGCAGAACCACGGTGAAAAGGGTGTTAAATGAAGACTTAGGGCTTCGGGCATATCGAAGAAAAACAGGACATCGTTTGAATGCTCGTCTAATGGACCTGAGACTGAAGAGATGCCGCGCTTTGTTGAAGCGGTACGCGGGAAAAAAATATCGGGAAATTCTTTTTTCGGATGAAAAAATTTTTACCGTAGAAGAGAGCTACAACAAACAAAATGATAAGGTGTACGCACACAGTAGTGAAGAAGCGAGCAACCGTATTCCGCGTGTCCAACGAGGTCATTTTCCATCCTCGCTCATGGTATGGTTGGGAGTTTCTTATTGGGGCTTAACAGAGGTACATTTTTGTGAGAAAGGTGTAAAAACGAATGCAGTTGTGTATCAAAATACAGTCCTGACGAACCTTGTGGAACCTGTTTCTCATACCATGTTCAATAACAGGCACTGGGTATTCCAACAAGATTCGGCGCCAGCTCATAGAGCGAAGAGCACACAAGACTGGCTGGCGGCGCGTGAAATCGACTTCATCCGGCACGAAGACTGGCCCTCCTCCAGTCCAGATTTGAATCCGTTAGATTACAAGATATGGCAACACTTGGAGGAAAAGGCGTGCTCAAAGCCTCATCTCAATTTGGAGTCACTCAAGACATCCTTGATTAAGGCAGCCGCCGATATTGACATGGACCTCGTTCGTGCTGCGATAGACGACTGGCCGCGCAGATTGAAGGCCTGTATTCAAAATCACGGAGGTCATTTTGAATAAACTTTAGTGTCATAAGAATCTATGTTTTGTTAAGTTCATTTTGCTATATGAATGGTTACATAATGAATAAACTTGTTTCAATTATTTTACATTAAACATGTGACAGAATTTATGACCTGACTAGGTAATTATACCACTAAAAGATACCACCGAACAAGCGATCCACTCACGGTGTTTTAGATACCCCAAGCACCGGTCATTGTTCTCGTCGAACCCGTCACTTGCGACAAAGGACTCGTTGAGTAAATTACCCCACAGACGCAGCCCACTGAGTTTCTCGCCGAATCTTCCCAGTGGGCCAGTGGGTCGCGTTTCCGATCCGGTGGTAGATTCTGCGAAGCACGGCTCTTGCTAGGGTTAGTGTTAGCAACCACGTCGGGTTTGAGTCCTGTGAGCTCACCTACTTGATAGGGTTACGCTGTACGGTACGTGTACGGTAAATGGTCTCTCAAAACCATTAGCAGTAGGATAAACAAAAAACTAAGCAAGAATGGATATTATTCAATAGAAATAGAAACAAGGAACATTTGTAAATTTCAGCTTCAGTCCAAGTAGTAGTACAGTTCGGTTGGCAGTGGCTTGGCTCTGCTCCTGCTATTGCTGAAGTCCATGGGCGACGGTAACCACTCACCATCAGGTGGGCCGCATGCTCCTCTACCTACAAGGGTAATAAAAAAAAAAAAAAAACTCTTGATATTACCGTCCTGTCTATTACTGTTGGGCAATCATGCGTTCCCCTTTGAAGGGTGTCAAAGAGATATATTAAAAATGAATAAATAAAAATTCATATTAATGGCACTATTTATTTTGCGATGTCCATAGCACCCACTAATAAACACTAGGGGCGGCGTAAACTGGTTCAATAAAAACACCAATTAGTTACATATCCGTGATATCTGCACAAATAACCTGTATGGATATCTAGACTAGAGTTCTGTATAAACGCTCATCTTCTTACACTGTTACCAAACATATTCATAGAGTCTTTGGAGAAAAAGATGTTCATATTCATGGAATGTTTGGAGATGAAGTCGTCGTGGCCTAAAGGATAAGACGTCCGGTGCATTCGTATCTAGCGATGCAATGGTGTTCGAATCCCGCAGGCTGGTACCAATTTTTCTAATAAAATACGTACTTAAAATATGTTCACGATTGACTTCCACGGTGAAGGAATAACATCGTGTAATAAAAACCAAACCCGCAAAAATATATTTTGCGTCATTAGGCGTAGTTACCATCACCCTGCCTATTTCAACCGTGAAGCAGTAATGCGTTTCGATTTGAAGGGCGGGGCAGCTGTTGTAACTATACTGAGACCTTAGAACTCATATCTCACTTAACACTAGGTGGGCTGTGAGCTCGTCCACCCATATAAGCAAAAAAAATTTAAAGAAAAGTTGAAGTAATGATACAAAGGACCTGTTGTCATGTCGGATAAATATTTGCCCAGTTTGTTAATAGCAGTGCCGAGATTTTATTATGAGCGCAGCCACGTTCAGACTTGAGATCTACTTAAGTCTTAAATGAATCATCACCGGCTTTTCAAACCGAAACTCAATATGGCTTCACAGCACGCTGTACCACCGCTAATTAAATATGAAGGGATTTTTTTAAATAAGAATTTAAAGTGAAAGTACTGTTTATAATAAGAATGGACATTAGATAAGTATTTGGTTCAGGTGGCTGCGGTCGCATACCCGTTTCTTCTGATGAATTTCTTGTCGGACTATTTTGTACGGTCCTCTGTGTGCTTAGTGCGAGTTTCATAACGTTCTCGACAGCATAAAAGTTAAGCCAATTTTGTATGCAATTGGAACAGCGCCCCTAGCGGCAAACGTACGCAAACGATCCCATTCCATACAAATAAGAGCTAACTTTTACGCTATCGAGAACGTTATAAAACTCGCACTAAGCACACTGGCCACAAACAAACAATAAAACATAAACCATGATGCACTATTTATTAATGTCATGTGGTCGTGTGAGTGTGATGAGCACGTGTATGTGAGCCTCGTGACTGTCCTCCGTTCTCCTGTCTGATTGTGCCCCAAAGGTCAGGTCAGGAATGTCTGTTTTAAGATTCGGCAGATTTGAAATTATAACAGAAAGTCTCGAAATAAACAACATTTTGTTTTGATTGTATACTCCTACTTCCATTTAGATCCAGACTCTTTGTTTGTTCGCCTGACCAAGTACCAAAAAGAAAAATATCAAATTTTATTCGTCTTTTTTTCTCATAAGATTAATAAATTATGGACAATATTAGACAATTTAACTAAAATTCACTGTTTGTTGGATGCGTATTCATAAAGGCTGATGGGTCTCGTGCCTACGAAGCCTTTGCTATGCGACTCGCTAATCCTATTATATTATTATCTAAAAACGTGCTCTTTAAAAATGGATTAAAACGCAAATGCGTCGTTTCCGTGATTCTCGTGACTTACTTTCACACGTGTTTGTATTAAACGTTTGTTTAAATTTTATGGTGAGATAAAAGTCTATTAACGCTTTATTTAACGCAAAATTTTATATGAACTACACAGTATATTTTGCATTGTATTAGACCGTTTCTGAAAGATGCCAGATACTTCACAGATTTTTCATGCTTCCCTGTTCCTCACGTTGGAACAAAATGTTGGTATATACAGACAAATGGAGCCTAATGATGGAATGGGTAAATTGACTATGACATACCGATTATGTCAATTAAAACTTTATTAAAATTATTCTCTGGAAGTTTAATGTTACGTCTATAATACATTTTATAATTTTCGGGGCTTCGAATATATTGTAGTAGCCGTGGTTATTATTTCAGCATTCTATTTGTAAAACGTTTAATCTGAATGCGTCATGACAAAATCGATATTTTCAAGCGATCTATTTGACAGCGACAGCAGGTCATTTATTCTGTCAAAAATAACAAATTAGTAAACAAAAAATTGTATTTCTTGTTTTTCAACGGTTAATCAAGAAATCAATAATTGTTATAACACCAAATTACAACGAGTCGGTCGCACATTTAAATATTAAATGACTTTGGGACGTAAATATCAACAATCTTCCGGGTAAATGATTTTAATGCCCTTGTTCTAATGTATCTGCACGCACCGATGCATGCCATAAGGGTTCAGTTAAAAATATATATTAGAAATTGATTTTCACCTATTTATAGGAATGTGGGGGAGGCCCGTAAGGTGTATTCTAACCAGTCGAAGGTCGGGACTCTATCTGGTTGCTCGTCTTCAGTAAGTTGTAGTCTACTAACCATTGGTGAATGATTCATAGCTTCCCGTTCTTCCATAAATGTAGTGCATGCTCAGAATTGCTTATCAGGTTTGTTTGCTCTTTAGCGAAGTGTTTAAATCTATATATGTATCCATTTAAACAAATATAAATATGTTTATATTGATATATTTAATATATATCTCTAGTTCCAAGTAAAGTGAATCCTCGTTGGGGTCAGATGACCATATGTGACCCAATACATCTGATTAGAAAAACTGACTTCAAATTGTAGGCTTGGTTCATCTAAATAAATATGTTAATTCTTTTATTACTGCACTCTATACTGTCTATACTACTTTAAACTTCGACTAAAGAGAACACAACATTTCCTCTACATTTCATAAGCACCTTTTTGAATCAGACAAAGAATGGTTGGAATTAAAAAATAGAAATATTTTTCCACTGTAACTATGTATTCATTTACTCTATAGTAAATTATTTCAATTTGGGAACTTAGCATGTGTCAGCGTCAGCCATGGCAACTAAATATCATTAACATATTATTTTATTTATATTGTATATCTAAAACTAATCTAATATAATTGGTATATCTAATATAATTGGAAGATTATAAATATTAGATTGTGTACGATTTTGAAGATTGTCCATTAAGTATGTATTTAGTTAACATGTCAAGATACTGCAATATGTTATAACTTTGAGTTGACTTTCATTCTGACACTGGCTATCTGGAAAAATATCACTGTTAGTGAAAAGGGTATGGCCTGTTGTAATTTCTATTTAGCTATCTATACTAATATATAAATCTACGGTGGTTTTTACGGATGTTCCGTTATAACTACTGAAGCAGGCATCCAATTGACTTGAAACTTGGTATCCATGTAGAAAATACATGTACTTAATGGATATGGTTAAATGTGAAGCAGACAGGTACAGCTAGTCTTTTGTAAATTTTGTTATTATTTAATGGTGATAAATTTTTTTGTGTTTGAAGAATTTTAAGATGTGGAATAGATAATATCCCATGTGTAGGTGCTACTATACTATTTTGGATAAAGTAGAAAACAATTATAAAATTTATCAGTTACTTTGATTCTATGAAACCCCTGACAGTTTTACAAGTTAGAAATGCAAATTAATTTTGTTCTAAACCACATTGAAAGCAAATGTGGTTTTATCAACCTTGATTTTAATCTATTCATTATCTTTTAAGGATGTTAGTAATTTCATCTTGCTGTATAGGAAGCTATAATTTAATAAGTCATTAATAAAATTAAACAATTGAATTATTGTGAATATAGATATCATTGAGTGACATGATCGAACCACCGGATTATGAGGAGGTGTGCGACCGGCTGATGGGGCCGAGAGATCCTCTCGCGTACCCGCCAGTCGACATGGAACTCATCTATGTACCAAGACGAATTCGAACAGTAACCCATGTTCTACCTGATGAAGACTTGTAAGTATTTTTACTGGCTTATTGATCACAAAAATTAACTTTCCTCTCTATGATAAACAATTACTGACTCTATAAATGTCACAACACATTAGCATATGTGTCTGACACTGCATTTCAATGTAACTAACAGTCCATCTAGTGTCAGGATAATTTACAAAAATTTTTGAGGATCCCATGTATGTATAAAAATTTAAACAGCAAAATGTCACTGAGGCAGTACATTATTAACCAATAAAAACGTGTCAACAGAACAAAAGCACCAATGTTCGTCCGTGATTGCCTCCGCTGTTACACGTCTGACTATTCAGTGGTGGAATACAAGTACCGTGCGTACTCGGGCTCGTCTTGTGGAAGGGAGAGGCTCGCTGAACGGCTGGAGAAACTTCAAACTGGACCGAGGCACCTCTATGAGATTGATGCTGATTTCTTATCTACTAATGACGAGGCTCTCTCACAACAGGTTGGCTTAATTTATTATTACTATTAGAGGCTAACCATTAGGATAACAATATTTTAGATAACAAGATTAGGACAAAAATACTTCATTAATTAATTTATGGTATCTATGATGAGCACCTTTCACTGTCACCTTATATTAAACCTGTCATATCTTCTTCTTCCCAAATTTTCTTCATCGTAAGGTGGTTGTCTATTGTACATATACAAATATATTATGCCTACTGATAAATTTTCAATGTAGATTATGTTTTGGTGTGCACTAAAGTATACTCAACTCTACTATACAATCAAAGTTAAAATAACAACATTAAATAGTCTTTTGAGATATCACTAACCGACATAAATACTTCAGTTCGAATCTCAACCGTCAAGCGGACGTCAATCGGTGGCTTCTATCTCGTCATCGTCATCATGCAACGAGACACTGACTCCTCGAGGTTCGTGGGCCAGTCTCGATCTGAGAAGCTCTTCCTCAGATCCTCTACTGCCAGAGATATTCGAGAGAAAACCTTTGGAACAGGTGGATGCCGCCAATGAGGCTAGGAGGTTAGTTGAACAAGTTCTTGAAATATGTAAAAAAAGTCATATGCCGATAGCATCCCACTACAAATACAACTTATTCTGAATATTCAGACTTATAATTGAATCTCTCTAGTCCTTCTAAGATATCCTGCACGGCATACTAGTATTCATTGACAGGTGTTGAATGTTGACATTTGTTTACAAGGCTGGAGAACCGTCAAGCTGATCTCCTGGGACTGTACACTCCGTACCTGGACGAGGAGGAGGCGGTGGAGCGTCGCCTGGCCGCGGAGATGCCCTGCGAGATACTGGGACACAGGATATTAGTGGTCTGCCACCAGCTGAAGTTAGTACCCAAATGTTGTCTTATTAGAGCTATTCTAAAACTAAATTTTTAACTTACTTCCGATTAAGAAGAGATTCTCAATTCTGGGAGAAAGTTTAATAAACAAACATACAGTCCGCCCTTTCTATTACCAGGAATTTAGTCCTAGTTGATAGCAACTTTTTGGGTTTGGTTCTTATTTTTGTTTTTACATTTAGAGCCCAATCCATAGGATAGTTAGTAATTTCTTAGGAACTGACTGTAGGTCCGTTTCCTATTATAATAATATTTCCAACACTATACTTCCTGGAGTGGCCACTCTTTTCTTATTTATATTACACCTTAATGAAAACATTATTAGTTCAAAACATTAATATTAATGGTTATACTTGTTATATTTTACTGGTGGTAGGACCTCTAGTGAATCCGCACGGGTAGGTACTCCCGCCTGGCTATTTCTGCCGTGAAGCAGTAACGCGTTTCGGTTTGAAGGGTGGGGCAGCCGTTGTAAACTATACTTAAGACCTTAGAACTTATATCTCAAGATGGGTGGCGCATTAACGTTGTAGATGTCTATGGTCTCCAGTAACCACTTAACACCGGGTGGGCTGTGATGTCGTGTGCCCATCTAAGCAATAAAAAATAAAAAAATTAGCGTCACACTCACTTATCACTAGATCACACAATTTCATGAGCACAATTCAAAAGTCAATTTATAATAATCCTTATTTCTCAATGTCCAATGACATAAGTATGGTGAGGCATAACAGGCATTGATATACAGGGAAAGGAACCGGACTATCATTGATGCTCTCTTGAATCTGTTCAAAATATTTTTAAACAATGTATCCCTTGCAGATAGCGTAAACAGTAAGAGTGATTATAATGCAAATAGTTGTATTATGAATGAACTGTTTGTTCAAGGCTGGAATTGGACGTCGAACCTCTGTTCGCTTCGATGGCCCTCTACGACGCTAAAGAGAAGAAGAAGCTATCGGAGAATTTTTATTTCAATCTGAACTCGGAGTGCACGCGGCAGATGCTGAGCGCTCACGTTCCTCACGCTGACATTTCGACGCTGAGCAGGAGCGCCATCTTCGAAGTCCAGAACCCGTCGCCGGATGTTTTTTTAGTCATCAGGGTGGAGAAAGTCCTTCAGGGCGATATCAACGAATGTGTTGAACCTTATATCAAGGACGATAAGGTTCGTTTTTCTTGTTCTTGTTTCATTTATTCTTTCAATATTAAGAGAATCTGAATCTTGTTACTTTAAAATTCAATCCGCAATTATTAGTTTTTAATGTGTAAAGATGAAAGACAACAGTATCGTCAGCGGGGCAATTGTGCTTTTGCCTATTGGTAAGAACCACGGATGTCCATACTGCTACGTCAAAGAAAGCAGTCATGTATTCAATTATATTGAAACTACGACATTGTGTCTGTCGTAGAGGGAGTTTGTTCCATGACTTGACGGAGTGCAGTAGTAGAACGGAGATGTAGCGACGTCGTCTGTTCACAGAACCGCGAGAAGGTCCGCGCGAGTGCGCAGGCGGCGTGCTCCCGCCTCGGCAAGTACCGCATGCCGCTGGCGTGGAGCGCCGTGTCGCTGCTCAACATCCTCAGCGGCTCCAACAGCCTGGACCGGGACCAGCCCGACAAGGACACTCTGTCGGTCGGCTCCAACACCAACAGTCTGGGTTAGTGCAGAGTCGGCTGTTGGAGCGCCGCGTGTCTGGTTGTAGTGTTGACCGCAGGAATCCCCCTACTCTGATGGGTTCTGACCCCTGACGGAGATCGGTCGGGTGTAAGAGTGCAGGGGAGTCGCTTAGTGCGGTAGGGCCCTAAAATTCATTGGGCCCGCGGTCTGCTCCCAACACCTTGCAGATCGTCAAGTACCCCACATAGCCCGCGAGCCCCCTAGGCGCGGGGACCTCGTAGGAGGTTAGTTTTAAAGTCGACTGATGGAACCGCGTTCAGAAATCAATAAGCTAAGTTAATAGTTGAAGTAACTAGCGCGTGTGCGTGCGTGCGCAGACCGCAAGGCGTCGTCCAGCAGCCTGGAGGCGCTACGGCGGCGCGCGGGGGAGGTGGGGGGCTCGCTGACGCGCAAGGGCTCGCTGGAGCGCCGCGCCCCCCCGCCCGACCACCTGGCCGCCGCGCTGCCCACCTTCAGCCCCGTCGTCATCACGCTCACCAGCTTCTTTAAACAGGTACCGACCTATATACGAAACTGATGCAAAAGTCGACTAAATGCCAAGAAATCATTGTATGTTGAAACATTTACAGCTATTTATGAAGTTTATCTGACAATGGTCATAAAATTCAATTAGACAGACATTAAGATAAATAATTTAATAATATTAATATGATAATTTATTAATATAATAGAATTCTACAAAGACTGCACTGACGGACAAAATTCTGCAACTCCTGTGAGAGCATTAGAGTCGACATAGAAATTCTGTATTGATTATAGCATGAGTAGCGATCAGGCGGGTGTGTTCATGAGCAGTCCGGTATTAACTGGTTACTGGAGCCCACTGAGTGACAACTCCTGTGAAAATGCATAAGATGGACCTCAGAACTATTACGATCATCCTACTCTTCAAATCGGAACGCACAAATGCTTCGCGACCATAGATAAAAGGATATAAAACAAAATCAGAAAGAAATTAGGAGCCGATGCTGCTGAAGAAAACGCTATGATTGTTGAGTTATAGTATTATAATAGCAGGAGCTAGAGAGGAAGACTGAGAAAGAGATATAGTTCTTTCTCACCGCTTGAGTTATCCTTAATAATCCTTGAGGCTTGTCAGTACCGTCAAGGTAGCTTAGTGCAGCAGACCTAAAAACTGTCGATCTACAGCATCCATTGGTATGTTTGTCCCGCGCAGGAGCCGGACAAGCTCCGCGACGAGGACCTGTACAAGTTCCTGGCCGAGATCAAGCGGCCCAGCTCGGCCCCCAAGAAGCTCAAGTGCATCCCGGGCACCCTCAAGATCGAGGTGTGTCCCTGCCCGGACGAGGTCAAGAACGGACTCACGCCGGAGCTGGCGAAACTGAACCCCTATGGAGGTCAGCTAACACCTCACTTATTATTTGGTAGTTCTTATTTAAGTCAAAAAGCAATGAGATTATATAAATATATTTTTTATATATATAAATATATATTTTACTGGTAGTAGGCTCTCATGTGAGTCCGCACGGGTAGGTATCACCACACCGCCTGTTTCTGCCGTGAAGCAGTAATGCGTTTCGGTTTGAAGGGCGGGGCAGCCGTTGTAACTATACTGAGACCTTAGAACTTTAACTCAAGGTAGATGGCGGCATTTATGTTGTAGATGTCTATGGGCTCCAGTAACCGCTTAACACCAGGTGGGCCGTGAGCTCGTCCACAAACCCAAGCAATAAAAAAAAACACATGTGTCTAGATAAAGTTTTGGTAAATATAGGGTACAATTTAGCTTAAAAATGCAACGGGGTATCAACTAAATTGAATTCTTCAGTATCGAAAATGTGTTTTCTGTCAATCTAGTCCCTGTTATAAATAGGTATAAATTTTTGCTTCATTAAAATACCGCACATACGGTGCTATAAAGTCACTTATGAAATTTTCGTTAACACTGAACTGAATATGAGAAAATACATTTTTTAATAGTTACTAGTGAGATGCGAGAGATGTTTGCTTTTACTGATGAAGTTTAAAGTTGTAGTTTAAATATTATTTTATTTCTATAGTCTAGCAGAACTATATAAAAATTGTATAATGAGATGTTGAATTTTCCAACGTTTCTCCTGGAAAATTACATAATTTGCATAAGTGACGTGACGAAACCAGTGAAATTCTATATACGCCACGGTTGTAATAGTGTGGAGAAAGAAAAAGACAAATAGCTATTCTCTGATGATTTTGTGGCAGTTCAGTCGGGTAGATGAGGTCATAACCCATTAGATTTTAAGTATCTACTGGAAGCCGTTTTTTTTAATTGCTTAGACGGATGGACGAGCTCAAGGTCCATCTAGTGCTAAGTGGTTACTCGAGCCCATAGACATCTACAACGTAAATGCCGTCACCCACCTTGAGACATGAGTTCTAAGGTCTCACACCCGTATCTTTAGTCGTTTACACGAGCTTAACTCGACTCGACTCAACCTCCAACGCGCGTTTTGGTATGATTAGTCGTAAAAATAAACTCCACTCAAACGTCCTTGGAAAAATTTCGCGACGTACCTTGAACGTTCCTCAAGGCTGGTTTTCTATCAATGTCCAAATAGTATGTGGACCGCAATATATGATATTGTTGTGCAATGGCCTGGATCTGTGCATGATTCCCGCGTATTTTGATAATTTAAGTTTGATAATATTTATTAATAAAGTAAATAGTTCGAGGTTAGACATTTGAAACTCTTTATTTTATTTACCTACATAAGAGACATATTTTGCTTACTACCTGATAAATAAAGTCAATGCGATTATAAGTTTTATTTATATAATAATAAACTGGTGGTTGTGGAAAAGCACTTCAACAACACGATGCAACCAAAATCACACAAAAGCGGCGAATAAAAATACAAAGCCGGATCCGAAATCTAAAATAATAATAGGTTAGAAAATAAATAATACACTTTCAGATTTACCGCACGCACACATATTTACGAATAACTCAGCAACCAAAACATCAAACAAGTTCATCTAGTGTCAAACAGACAGCGGCAGCTTGACTTTGACATTAAACAATGACCATAGACTACAGAACTCTATGGGTTTGATGCTAGCTTGATCAAATTTTCATCATTATTACCTCACTCGAGGACAGTTGAGGAATATTGTAATGGTCGACTAAAAATACCAAACTCGAGTAAGTTTGGAGGGAATTCTCGAGCATCATCGGATGAGTTAAGAGTGGAGGACTATTTTACGAAACGTCTAAAGATACGGGCATCAGTTTTAATAGTACAACGGCTGTCCCGCCCTTCAAACCGAAACTCACTTACGTTACTGCTTCACGGCAGAAATAGGCAGGGTGGTTTTTTTTATTTATTGCTTAGATGGGTGGACGAGCTCACAGCCCACCTGTTGTTAAGTGGTTACTGGAGCCCATAGACATCTACAAAGTAAATGCGCCACCCACCTTGAGATATAAGTTGTAAGATCTCAGTGTAGTTACAACGGCTGCCCCACCCTTCGGACCGAAACGCATTACTGCTTCACGGCAGAAATAGGCAGGGCGGTGGTACCTAACTGTGCCGTCCCGTGCTGGTTTCGTTCCGTTTCAAAGCCACCGTTGTTTGTGTACCGTGGGACAGACGAGAACGTGCGTCCGTGCAAGGAGGTGCTGTCCTTCCCGCTGCAGGCGCCGGCCGTGCCCCACTACCAGTACCGCAACCTCATGTACCTGTCCGTGCGCGACCTCAACCTCGCCGCCTACACCTCGCGCGCCGGCTCCGCCAGGAACATCACCGTGAGCACAGCGCGCAGCACTGGCTGCTTGTAGCCGAAATAAAATAGCTTTCTCAAAAGTTCTTGCATAATACTGTGTTTTCTACACGTGCGATAAAAAAATCAAAATAAAATAAAATACGTAACGGTTCGGCTTTTTGCTCGGCTATCGACATTGCTGACGTCCAAGAACCACAGTAACCATGCATCAGGTTTTTTTCATGAGGCCCGCCTGATGGTGAGTGGTTAGCGTCGACCATGAATTTCAGCAATGCCAGAGTCAGAGCCAAACCGCTGCCTACCGAAAAGGTGTGCCATATAGTCCGTCTATCTATAAAGGCATTAAAAAACCATATGGCGCGATGCGACCTGTTATACAGAATTGAGACAAGATCTTTTTTAAAAAATATTTAAATAATTAAATAGAAATGAATAGAAAAAGTGATGATGGAAGCAAAGCTAGGAACCAGAGGGTATCGTGACAGACCGTGTCAAGCTCCATCCCGCGGACATATAACATTTTTACGAATGAAATTTGCAGTGGCCACATAAGTTCCACGACGAAGATGGTGGTAAAGTCGTATCACAAGAAAATATAATGATGTAAAATAATCAATAATAGTAGGACGCCAAGTAAGGCGGGTTTGCCCAAGTCCCGCGATCCTGACGCTTCGACTCATGTCTCCAGCGGTCCCCACCCCGTTACCCTGCATGAGCTCCAGTGTCCCCCCCACTCTGACCCCGTGAGCTAACTGCGCTTGCCGGCAGGTCCGCATACAGCTGATGTCGGGCGAGCAGGAGGACGCGGCGCTGCCCGCCATATTCGGCCGCAGCGCGTGCTCAGAGTTCACAACCGAAGCCTACACCACTGTCATCTATCATAACAAGTTAGTCATTGCTCATATTTTTTTTTTTATTGCTTAGTTGGGTGGACGAACTCACAGCCCACCTGGTGTTAAGTAGTCACTGGAGCCCATAGACATCTACGACGTAAATGCGCCACCCACCTTGAGATATAAGTTCTAAGGTTTCAAGTATACAACGGCTGCCCCGCCCTTCAAACCGAAACGCATTACTGCTTCACGGCAGAAATAGGCAGGGCAGTGGTACCTACCCGTGCGGACTCGCAAGAGCTCTTACCACCAGTATACCTTTAGACCTTTAATCCTATGGTAAGTAACCACTATCGGTGTGATTTTTTTTGGACGGACGGAATCTTGTGTGTGACGGAATCTTTCAACGTAATTTTCACCGAATTAAAGACGTCCTGTTAATTTGAAAATTTTCATCCGCATCAAGGGTCCTGTTTTAGGATACTCTAAGTCAGGGCTGTCCAAACTACATACCTTTGCGGGCTAATTAATTTTACTACAAAAACTGGAGGGACGCAGAAAAAACAATTTTCAGCTATCAAGTTAAAAAAATATAGGGTAATAAATGCTTTTCGGTAATTCTCACAATAATAGTAAAAGATAAATAGCTTCACTTTTAATTCAATTTAAAAAAAATTTAAATAAAGTTATATTATACAAAATTTGATCATATGTTTTGACAAAGAATTCTATTATCCAAACTATTTATATTCAAAACAATTTTCTGATTAAAACACGCGTCGCGGGCTGCATGAAATCCAGCCGTTTTTCTAGACAGCCCTGCTCTAAGCTGTAGGCTTGAACACATTGAAAGCCATAACAGAAAACATTGAAAGCTTGTTATGGACACGTGATGCGTAGAGAGAAGATGCATGTGACTAGGAGATGTATGGAAATGGTAGTGCAAGGTAGAGGGGGAGGAGGTCGACCGAAGAAGACGTGGATGGAGTGTGTGAATGACGATATGAGAGAGAGAGGAGTGAGTGTTGAGATGGCGGCTGATAGAAGAGAATGGGAGAGGAAAATTAGCTGTGCTGACTCCATTTAGTGGGATAAGGTAGAGAAAAAGAAGAAGAACAGAGAATTTGAAAATTAGTAGAGCCCATCACTCATCGCTGTGTTGCCAACTGTATGTCGCCCATCAGGTTGTTAAAGCCACTGCGCGCCCCCTGTCGTGAATATTCCTCTCTTAAGTTAAGTAATGTGTCGTCTTCCAGGAACCCGTCGCTCTACGACGAGATAAAGCTGAAGCTGCCCGCGGACCTCGGCGACCAGCACCATTTGCTGTTCACGTTTCTGCACATCTCGTGCCAGAGGAAGCCCGTGGCTCACGACCTGGAGAAGAACGTCGAGACTCCTGTTGGATACTCTGTAAGTGCACTACGTTCAATAATTGTTATCTGTGCGTACATAGGCCATAAAACAATACATGTGTGATTTGTTTTATTTTGTCTATTTAATGTTTCTTGTATTGTAACTTCCCGGAATCCTCCAAAAAGTCCACTGAAAAGGTCTCAGTAAATGACCAGCATTTTACATATTATCTCATTTCATTTCATTTTATGCCATGCTTCGTAATAATCAACTTTATTTCATTTCATAATATAATTTTTCATATAAAAAAGTTTTCATTAAAATTAAAATAAGATTTGACCTAAAGGTCTTAGTTACCAGGTCATAAAATCCCTTGAAAAAAAACAATACAGGCTGAGGGGTGTCGTTCTAAAACCTGGATTTGTCTTGTCGTGAAGATGCAAACTCAAGTCTAGCAAACTCACAAACTAATCGCAAGATACTATTAGTTCGTTCTGTGTGAAATAAAGCTTAAAAGTCTAGAAAAATTGACGGTAGTTAGCGCGATATTGAAATGTCGACGACACCTCAGTCGTACGCGACCACGGTAACCATATTCGAAATGTCGGAAATAAATATAAACGCGACATAAAATCAGTTGATCGACGCTAAAAACATTTTTTTTTAAACTAATCCTTCAAGGCCTTTTTATTTCATGGTATGTACTTGTATAATGATATCAATGTTCAGCGGTTAGTACAGCACATAGACACTACAGAGAGAAGACCTCCGTGTGTCTTGCTACATAAGGTCGAAATCAGCCTTGTCCGTATTTGGCAACAATATCATCTAAGGCCCCAAGTCATGAGCACGCTCTGTCCCCGCAGTGGCTGCCGCTGTGCCGCAACGGCAAGCTGTCCTGCGGAGAGTTCAGCCTGCCGGTGATGCAGGAGGAGCCCCCGGACAACTACTCGTACATCTTCCCGGACGTGCAGCTCCCGGGCACGCGCTGGATCGACAACCACCGCCCCATCTTCAACATCAGCCTCGACCCTCACACCACGGTGCATCCCCTGGTAAACGAGAACTGAACACCCTTAATTCTTAACCGATTTAAAAAAAAATAGTTTCTTCATCCAGGGCATATGCTTTTAGCTTAACTGATTCCACTAATTTATGCTGGTCGGACATTACTTTGTCCAAAAACCGTTTATTGGCTTTGATAACCAAAAAATTTAATCAGGCAAATGATAAAATTAAATAAATAAGTATAAATAAAAGACGGTTTCATCGCTTCAGCCAGCGACTATCTGTCGTCTTTACTGATTTTGAATAAGGGGAAAATACTAATTGTGTACAAATATTACTTTACAAAAGAATAGAGTTATTTTCAATTTATTTAATGGTCATGAATCTTGAAGTGGAGTCAGAACCCTAGATCTGCAATCGCAACTCTGCAAAATTTCAAGTCAATCGATTTTGTGTACGGTTACAAGACGAACAGACTGCCCTTGGTTATAGGTAGGTGAGCTCACGATCAACCTGATATTAAGTGATGACCGAAGCCCATAGACATCTACAACGTAAATGCCGCCACCCGCCTTGAGACGGCTTACAACGGTTACCCCACCCTTGAAACCGAAACTCATTACTGCTTCACGTCAGAAATAGGTGGAGTGGTGGTTCCTACCCGTGCGAACTCACAACTGTCCTACCACCAGGAATTACGCAAATTATAATTTTGTGGGTTTGATTTTTATTACACGATGTTATTCCTTCACCGTGGAAGTCAATCGTGAACGTGTTGAGTACGTATTTCATAAAAAAAATGATACCCGCCGGTGGGAATTGCACACCGGTGCATCGCTAGATACGAATGCACCGGACGTGTTATCTTGCCACTGTCAGTGACGCACGTTGCGTACGCGCCCGCACTTGCAGGACGGGTACATCGAACGTTTCGCGATGGCGTGCGAGGCCGTGCAGGAGGGCAACATCCCTCCGAGGATCGGCCTCAACAACATGGAAGCGGAACTCAGGACTAGGTAGGTTCATTTATCAACGTAGAATATTTTTCGATTGGTTCAAATGGTCCAACATGCTCACGGACCGTCTGGCTTGAAACGGCTGTCAAGTCAATGGACATTGATGACCTTGAGACATGAGGTCAAAATCACGGTTTTGTTGTATAATGAAGCGTAGGTCCACTTACATCGTAGCAGAAACAAGCAAGCCGGTGGTACCTGCACGTGTGAGAGTCGCACATCGAGTACTGTTTGTTAGCGTTCGTTTCGTAATGAAGCTTTTGGCTATGAAACTTATCGAAAGTAGCGGTGCTCTATGTCCCAGCATATCTTATTCTCCCTATCTAATTTTTGGTAGCCTTAGGGGCTATTCCAACTTCACGCGGACTGGTAGGAGAGCTCACGGGCTCAACCTGAGAGAATTGCTAACACTAGCCCTAGCAAGAGCAGTGCTTCGCTGAATCTACCGCCGGATCGGAATCGCGACCCACTGAGAGGAATCTGAAAAGAATTTGTGGCGAGGCTTGTGAGAGGCCTATGTCCAGCAGTGGACGTCTGGGCTTATAAGAAGAAGAGAAGATTCAACGAGAAACTCAGTAGGCTGTGTCTATGTTTTTTTTTTTATTGCTTAGATGGGTAGACGAGGCACATAGCCCACCTGGTGTTAAGTGGTTACTGGAGTCCATGGACATCTACGACGTTAATGCGCCACCCACCTTGAGATATAAGTTCTAAGGTCTCGAGTATAGTTACAACGGCTGCCCCACCCTTCAAACCGAAACGCATTACTACTTCACGGCAGAAATAGGCAGGGTGGTGGACCCGCGCGGACTCACAAGAGGTCCTACCACCAGTAAATTTGTGGCGAGGCTTGAGGGAAGCCTATGACCAGCAGTGGACGTCTGTGGGCTGATAAGAAGAAGAAGAAAAGATCCGGCGAGAAACTCAGTGGACTGTATCTATGGGCAGCATATCGGAGCTGTCGTCGGCCAACGTGGAGGTGCTGGCCCGCTACCTGCCCGTGGTCAGCGACAAGCTCGTGCGGCTGCTGGTGGCGCCGCCCAGCCTGCACGGCCAGCCGCTCAACATCGCGCAGGACGCCTTCACCTGCCTGGCCAGTCTGTTCGCGGACATCACCGTGAGTCTCACTGTCTCAGCGTAAACCTTACTCGTGGGTAGTTCGACTTTTTAGATTAATTATTCATAGGACGTTATGGCGTTAAGTTGTGTGATTTGTTTTATTTTGTCTATTTAGTGTTTCTAAATGTGTATTAACGATCGTTTATTAACTGTTTAGTATCTGTGAAAGTGCAGAAATGTGGGAAAATGAAACAAACCCGCTGGACTTAATTTCTCGGGATCCTCCAAAAAGTCCACTGAAAAAATTTCAGTAAATGATTTTACTGAGATTGTATTTCTCCCACTCCTCTCATTTCATTTCACTCCATATTATCATTTTTCATAAAAATAGGAATATAAATTAAAATAACACACGACTTAAAGGTCTTAGTTATCAGATCATAAAATCCCTTAAAGAATTAAAAAATAAAATAAAAGAATGTTCAATTTTAGAACGAACATAGTGATATCCACATGAGAAAGTAAATTCGACCTTACTTCTCTTACTGGTGGTAGGACCTCTTGTGAGCCCGCGCGGGTGGATACTACCACCCCGCCTATTTCTGCCGTGAAGCAGTAATGCGTTTTGGTTTGAAGGGTGGGGCAGCCGTTGTAACTATACTTGAGACCTTAGCACTTATATCTCAAGGTGGGCGGCGCATTTACGCTATGGATGTCTATGGGCTCCAATAACCACTTAACACCAGGTGTGCTGTGAGCTCGTCCAACCATATAAGCAATAAAAAAAAACGGTGTAGATTTATGTTGAAAAAATAATGAATTCTATATTTGTGGTGGGGATTCTATCCAATATCATTTTGGTCATCGCGAGTATACATAGCGTGTTTATTTGTTCCGGGGTCAACGAACATCTGTGCAATAAAGCTTACTATAAAGTCAATGATTATCTAGAAGATTGCACAAAGTGGGAATGAGTTGCTCGCTCCGGGCATTTCAATATTGCTATAATTGTTACGTTATATAATACCACTTGTAAAAATGAATATTTAAAAAAAAGACATGCCCGCTGAGTTTCTTGCTAGTTCTTCTCAGGACGGAGGCTAGTTTTTGTGAATTGGCGGTAGTTCTTTTTGATGTTCAACAAGTATGTACTTTCATTTATGTTGAATAAATATTTTTTTTATTTGATTTGATTTGAAACGCCCCATTGTTTTGAGCAACTAAAGACCCCTCTGTACACACCGCCCCCCGGCAGGGCCTGAACGAGGGTGCGACGTGCGACGCCCACGGGCGCAGCTCGATCCTAAGCGCCTACATCCAGTACCAGTGCACCATCCCGCGCCCCTCCATCGCCGACCGGGACGTGGGCCTGCCGCTGCCGCCCGCCGGTAAGGACACCACACATCGCACCTTTCAAAAATCGAAAAAAAAAAAATTTTTTTTTGGGAAAAAACAAAAAAACATCCTTCTGAGGTTGTTTCGCCGTCTCTTCTCAGGACTGTGGCTCTTTTTGGAACCGGTGGTAGAGTTAACATTGTTATTTATATTTTGACATTCAACAAGTGTGTTATGCTGACATCTAAGTTGAAATAAATGATTTTGAGTTTGAATTTGAATTTACAATTATAAAAACCCAACTCGAAAAATGTGTTTTTTGGAAAACATCGATTGCAGTTCTCAAACCGAAAAAACGTAGAGGAAGGGGACGGAGTGAAAGAGACCGATAGATAGCTTAGTCTCTACTTCTGGTAATTTGATTACTAAAAGTGGCCGAAAAGGGTCGGTCTAGGTCCATTTTTGAATTAAAGACGAAATCCAAATATTTCAAAATGAGTGCCTATAATTTTAAAGGTGCGACATGTTAACTATGCAGAAATAAAAATAACAGTTCGATTGATCGTACAGTAATGATGGATGGATCCTGCAAGATCTTGCACGAGGAACTAGCGCTGCAGTGGGTGGTCGCCAGCGGAGTGACCAGGGACCTCGCCATGCAGAACTCCTGGTAACCTTCTCACTATAGCGGGCGTCACGCGGTGATAGTGCGCGCCATCCCGCTAACTTTGTAACAATACATATGCCTATTAGTTACATTTTTTTTAAATAAAATTCCAGTGTCTGTTGGTTTGTTGACTTCCTCTGTAGTAAAAAAAACATTTAAAGTCTATTTAATTATAATTTAATTCCAAAATTAAAAGGACTAATTTTCACAACATTTATTTCATAATTTTACTTCAATCATATTATAATACACTTAATCACTTAAATCAGTGTGTTAAGTGTTACAGACATAATTCTAACCACGGTTAATTTTGAAGAGACCTCCAAGGATAAGAAATAGAGTACTAGACCCGAGCGCCCATAATACCGGTGTTGGCAGGGCGCTGTTCGAGCTGCTGGTGAAGTCGATGTCGGAGTACGTGCAGTGGAGCGGCGCGCACGAGGCGGCCCGCAAGGCGCGCTTCCCGGAGCCCTTCACCGACGACCTCACCACCCTCGTCAACTGCGTCACCTCCGAGATCATATCCGGGTGGGTACTGGTATTCGTCCGGTGGCTCTCAACTTTGCGGTCGCAACTGTAATCTGAGCAACGTTACGACTCCGCGGACTTTTTGACGGGAACGCGAGGAGTGAGGTTGTGTGGTTTGTTTTATTTTGTCTATTTAGTGTTTCTTCAGGTTTAAATGTGTAATAACGATGGTTTATTAACTGTTTAGTATCTGTGAAAGTGCACAAATGTGGGAAAATGAAACAATGCCGCTGAACGTAACTTTTTGTGATCCTCCAAAAAGTCCACTGAAAAAGTCTCAGTGAATGACCACAATTTTACTGAGATTATATATCATCCCATATCATCTCATCTCATTTCATTTCATCCCAGTTGATTAATGTCTCAAATTAACCATCTTTATTTCATTTCATTTCATTTCACTTCATATTATCATTTTTCGTAAAAATAAAAATATAATATAAATTAAAATAAGACATGACTTAAAGGTCTTAGTTACCAGGTCATAAAATCCCTTTAAAAAAATTTATGACTCCACAGCTACGGCAAGAACAGTCGGCTGACGCAGAGCCTCAACAACAGCCTGGCGTTCTTCCTGTTCGACCTCATCAACATAATGGACCGCGGCTACGTGCTGAGCCTCGTCCGGACCTACTACAAGCAGATGAGCGCCAAGATCGCGTCCCTGCCCGACGCCGTGCCGCTCGTGCACTACAAGGTCTCCTGGAGCATTAGCCACATCCCACATCCCATCCAGTCGTTGTTTACATATTACAAAATTCGGTTATACAGAATTGTTAATCTATACTTAATATGATAGAGCTGAAGAGTTTGTTTGTTTGAACGCGCTAATCAGGAACTACTGGTCCGATTTGAAAAATTCTTTCAGTGCTAGATCGCCCATTTATCAAGGAAAGCTATAGGCTATATAATATCGCGCTAAAACAAATAGACACGGAGCACCAATAAAGAATGTTTCAAAATCGGGGCTTTTTTCCCTTTTGAGAGCTTTCGCTGCGTGAGCTGCAGAAACGGTTAAAGTTTCGCTAAATTAATGTATGACAGAATTGTTCAACTTTAAAAGACTTGAAAAAAAGTCCGCGACAGCATATGTCTATTAAGGTTGGCTCACTATAACGTTTTTTATGCTAAACAAATTTGTTCTAAAATAAAACATTATTTGTAAACTATTCCACGCGGACGAAGTCGCGGGCAAGAGCTAGTGATAAATAAAATATTCGTATTCAGTTGGCGTTTCTGCGCATCGTGTGCTCCCACGAGCACTACGTGTCCCTGTCCCTTCCCGGAGGGGGCCCGGGGGGTCGCGGCGGCGCGTCCTCCCCCGCCCCCTCGGCGCACTCCGGGGGATCGAGCAGCGCGCCGCCCCCCGCCTCCGCACTCACCCACGACTTCCGGTCCCGCCACTACCTGCCCGGCCTGCTGCTGGCTGAGCTGGCCAACGCGCTGGAGATGCAGTGAGTACATTGGTTTGTCTATATACAACTGTTGTGGCTGACGTGAAGGCGGCGACTAAAGGTACGCGTCCGTTAGCCCGCGCCATACTGCACGCAACGGATTTTATTTTGCTTTGTATGATTTCACATAGTGCTGCGGCCACTATCCGCAACGCCCGCATCGAACTATTATGGAAAATTGTTCTGAGGTCGTTTTAAAAAAGGAAACTTTTAGGATACGAACTATTTATTTGAATTATACAATATGGATGATAACTCTCAGAGCAATTCCGGCGGCCGCGCCCGTACTCTTAGACAGTTCACTCTCTACTGACTGTTCTGCGGTCTTCTCTCTACCTCGGACCATCTAGTCATCGGTGTGAGGATATCAGCACTTTAGGGTTCAGTACAGATATATAACAGAACGCACCGGCATTTATGAGCAAAAAATACACAGCAAAATAGAATCCGTTGCGTACGGTGCGTCCGGTGCGGGTCGCCCACTGAGTTTCTCGCCGGATTTTCTCAGTGGGTCGCGTTTCCGATCCGGTGGTAGATTCTGCGAGGCATGGCTCTTGCTAGGGCCAGTGTTAGCAACGTCGTCAGGTTTAATCCCCGTGAGCTCACCTACTAGTTAAGGTTACGCTGATATAGCTTCTCAAGCTTAGGTAGGAAAAAAAGGCGCGGGTCAATGGACGCGTACCTTAATGCGGGGCTGCGCGTGTTGGCGCAGGAGCCCGGTGCTGCAGAGCGCGGCGGTGGGCGCGGTGCTGGGCCTGCTCACGGCGCACGACGCGGACCCGCGCGTGGCGGAGCCCGAGCTGAAGGCGCGCGTGGCCTCGCTGTACCTGCCGCTGCTCGGCATCGTCATGGACGCCTACCCGCAGCTCTACAGGGGCTTCAACAACAACAAGGGTCAGTCCGCATTATACAACATCAATAATGAATCTTACGGGGCAATATATTTGGTCTTAAATGTCAAGACGGGATTGCTTCCCAGAACGTACGTATTTATACATATATCTATCTTGAAACATGAGGTTGAAGTCTCAATAGCATTGGAACATCGGCTATATAAGGAACTATGGAAATTGAGACGAATAGTAACCGAATGTTAGGGAACACAATAACAAAGGAGAAGAGAGTAACGGTAACAGTGGCAGACTTTGACAAAATAATCACAAGTGTCATTGGTTTAAAACGAACAATTAAGAATACTTAACACATCTTAAAAACGGCAGAGTCCAGGGACCACATAACCAACCATTTGTCGACTGATTCTGATTCCTGTGAAAATATGTACAACTATACTGTTTTTTTTTTGTATTTCACCAAATACTTAATTAATTTTCTCCAGAAATCCTTCAGCTGGACAGCGAGATGAGTCAGTTCGGGAGTCTGTGCTCGCCGCCCTCCCCGGTCGACTACAAACAGGTTTGTGTGTCCGTACGCGCCGCCACTCCGCTAGCTGCCTCATTGAGGACCCAAACCTTTAAGGCTTCGTCAAACAGAACGCGTACTTAGCGCGAGTCAGAGGGCTAAACTGACAACGCGCTATGACGCCGAGATGCGTTGTACTACTGTGGTAATGTACTGTCAAACAGAGCCCCAGCGCTGTAAGTACGCAGCGCTCTGTCGCGGTGTTCGGACGCTTTGACTTCAGGCGTTGTCATTTCATTTTTACAAATTTTATTTTAGCGTCCGAGTGAATGTGCATTAAAATACTGGATAATGCCCGAAAAATTGTAAAAATTTGTTAGAAAATACCTATGGTTATACAATGCTATATATGAATCACTCGACATCTTAATAATTTTAAATTTTCAGACTGCTATAGTAAGGCACTATGATTTGGCGGATGTTACGTTGCGTCAAGGAGCGTTGGACTCATCTAGTCAATTTGTGTGACATGAAAAGAGCGCGCCGCTAAAACGCAGCGCTAAGTACGCGTTCTGTTTGACGAAGTCTTTACAGATATCAGAAAACTTGGAAGATTTTAATGAAAATCATCCGACGCGATCACTGATGTTGAACGAATACTTGGACGAGCGAACTAACCCATAGACACAGCCCACTGAGTTTGGCATACATATGGAACATGTATTTTTTTTATTTTATTTTTTATTGCCCTTGTAGGCAGACGAGCATACGGCCCACCTGATGGTGAGTGGTTACCGTCGCCCATGGACTTCAGCAATGCCAGGGGCAGAGCCAAGCCGCTGCCTACCGCTTAATACTCTCCACAAGCCTCGTTTGAAGAAGGACATGTCATAGCGCTCGGGAAACACCGAGGAGGGGAGCTCATTCCATAGCCGGATGGTACGTGGCAAAAAAGATCTCTGGAAACGCACTGTGGATGACCGCAGTGGCTCCAGGTAGTATGGATGAACTCTACTCCGGTGGCGGGCGGTGCGATGGTAAAAACGAGATGCCGGTATCATCTCGAACAATTCCTCAGAGCACTCCCCATGGAACATACGGTACAGAATACAGAGGGAACCGAAGTCCCTCCGCAGACCCAGAGGCTCCAAACGATAAATTGCGGTCTTAAAAATTGCACTGATATGCCTTTTAATTATTTAAGTAAAACTACAAAACAACACCTTTTCATTAGTCAATGTTAAATGATGAAGTGCCAGGAATTTGTTCAGTGTTCCGCCACGATCACCAGAAAGTGGTGGAAAGGGTGCTTACTAATCCGCAAAAACACGCTACATTTTCCGATTGAACAATTAAATTAACATAATTTACCATAATTTAAACGTTGCAAACAATAGTTACATATTATAATATGACCCCACAGACACAGCCCGCTGAGTTTCTCGCTGGATCTTCTCAGTGGGTCGTTTCCGATCCGGTGGTAGATTCTACGAGACACGGCTCTTGCTAGGGCTAGTGCTAGCAAATTCTCTCAGGTTGAGCCCGTGAGCTCTTTTTTTTTAAAGCTTAGATGGGTGGACGACCACACAGGTCACCTGGTGTTAAGTGATTACTGGAGCCCATAGACATCTACAACATAAATGCGCCAACCACCTTGAGATATAAGCTCTAAGGTCTCAAGTATAGTTACAGCGGCTGCCCCACCCTTCAAACTGGAACGCATTACTGCTTCACGGCAGAAATAGGTAGGGTGGTGGTACCTACCCGCGCGGACTCACAAGACGTCCTATCACCAGTGAACCGTCCTACCCGTCTGCGTAACTGAAATAGCCCCTTAGGCTACCAGCGGATAGGTAGGGGTAAAAGAACGAATAGTTCAGTCAGCAACTGTACTGTCGCTCGAGCTCGTGGCTGAGCATGGTGAATGTTCCGCAGGAGGGCCGGGCCGCGCTGAACAGCGAGACGAGCCGCAACCTGGTGACGTGCCTCGCCTGGGTGCTGAAGTGGGCCGGGCCCTGCGCCGCCGACCTGCCGCCCTCCGCCCTGCGCACCCTGCTCGCGCTCATCGACCTCGCCTTCAGCTGCCACGAGTACAAGGTACGGCGCCCTCCTCCGGCCATTTTTAAGGGGTTTTATGACCTGGTAACTAAGACATTTAAGTCATGTCTTATTTTAATTTATATTCTTATTTTTATGAAAAATTACAATATGGAGTGAAATGAAATGAAGATGATTAATTTGAAACATTAATCAACTGGGATGAAATTAAATAAAATGAGATGATATGGGATAAAATATAATCTCAGTAAAATGATGGTTACTTACTGAGACTTTTTCAGTGGGATTTTTGGAGGATCCCGAGAAGCTACGTCCAGTGTCTCAAATTAATCGTATTCATTCCATTTCACTCCATATTATCATTTTTCACAAATATAAATTAAAATAAGACTTGACCTAAAAGTCTTAGTTCCCAGGTCATAAAATCCCTCTAAAAAAATTTTACGTACTTGACACGTACAATGCGCGAGCGCTCCACAAGCTTAGGTCCGTTTTGTCTAAACTTGTGTATCGTATGTCTCCAGGGGCGCAAGGAGATCATGAAGTGCGCTCAGCAGAACGTCCGTAAGACGACAGACATAAAGGCGAAATTAGAAGACGTCATTCTCGGCCAGGGATCAGCGCGGTCCGATTTCATCATGCGTAGGAAAGGTAACCATCAGGGCACGTACATAATAACAAAAAATTTAAAACCCGATTAGGAAATGACTGTATAGAAGTGTCTGTAGTTGTAGTGATATAGGGAATGTTGCCAGACCGCTCTGCCAAGAACTACGCAAGAACTCAACGCACTCCACGATTTCAATCGAACTATTCAATGTGAGGTACACGGACTTTTTAATCGTCATTAGTACTGAGACTCATGGACAACAGCAATACAGGACACACTCATGCTGCCTTATGCCTTATTTGAAGAATGACATATTTAGGTTACAGGTAAAGTTGCCTGACGATATGATCTCTGGCTGCAGTGCTTACAATGGTGCAGACAGACTGCTCTGATGAAGAATGCTGTGATCGTGAACTAGACATAGATTGTCCCCAAAATATTTGTTTTCTCCAGGGGGCAACATGTCCAACGGTGGGTGTAAGCGTGAGCGATGGCGCAAGGAGTGGGTGCGAGGCGGAGGGCGGGACTGCGCCCCCTCCCCCGCCGCACCGAACCCCTCGCTCGCCGCCGCGCTCGCGGGAGAGCTCTCCCTCACCCTCCTGCACGCCCTGGAGAATATCGTCCAGGTACACTACGTCTCCCCGGTCATAGCGCCACATACAGACCACAACAAATGTCCATTAATTCGAGTCTATCCTTCGATCACTTTCTATAGATAAAGAATTTATATTTAATCATTAGCTGAAATTTTATAGTTGTGACGTTTTCTTAACACCAATCACAACGAGTGACGTCATACGTGCTCAATCATGGTTTTGAAACGTAAAAAGGTTCAATTATACCGCAAACCTCGGCAGGAGAATATTTTCGTTGCTGAACTGAGATAACGTGATCGATTTGTACTTGTGTGTTTTGACCCCCAATGACGTCACACATATCGGTACTAGCGCTTCGTAAAGTTGAGCTCGTTGTGGAGAGTGTGAGGTCGTCGGTTGCAGGCCAGCAGCAACCTGGAGTGCGGTCAGAGCATCTGCAGTACGGCGCTGCAGGTGGTGCTGCGAGCCCTGCAGCGGAACCAGAGCGTGGTAGTGCTGCAGAACATGCTGGCCACGGTGCGGGCGCTCATCGTCAGGGTACGATACACTTCAATAATATAAATCTGAAACTTTTGAGATTCGACCATGTAGAGTTTAGTAACGGCGTAATGCGAGGATGCACGAAGAGACAGCGTCGTCCTGCTTTTTCTGCCGCGAAAATATCATTTTAGCTTTTTTTATATAGATGGATGAATGACTGAATTGTTACAGGAGCCCATAGACATTTACAACATAAATGCCGCCGTCTGCATAAAACTCGAGTTCTAATTTTACAGTACAACGGTTACCTCGTCCTTCAAACCGAAACGCGAAGCAGTAGTCACGGCAGAAATAGGCGGGATTACAGGCGGAATCAGAACGCGCCCTACCACCACCACACATTTAATTATTGAAGTACAGTAGCGACACAGTACAATTGAGTGCGTCGACGTGTGCAGCTGGGCTGGTCGTGCTGCGGCGAGGAGTGGAGCGTGTGCCGCGTGCTGCTGCGGCACGGCGCCGCGCTGGCGGGCGGCACGCGCGCGCACGCCGCCGCGGCGCTGTACGCGCTCATGCGCCAGCACTACCTGCTCGGCAACGTGAGTGCCGCCGCATCCGGACTAACCCTATATCGTCATTAGCGTTAAACGCTAATTCAAAACTCTTCGTATGATATTTGAAAAAACTGAGTAAGGGGACTTTTTGGCGGGAACGCGAGGAGTGAGGTTGCATGATTTGTTTTATTTTATCTAATTAGTGTTTCTTCTGGTTGAAATGTATAATAACGGTAGTTTATTAACTGTTTAGTATCTGTGAAAGTGCAAAAATGTGGGGAAATAAAACAAAACCGCTGAACGTAACTTCTCGGAATCCTCCAAAAAATCCATTGAAAAAATCTCAGTAAATAACCACCGTTTTACTGAGATCCCTTATAATCTTATCATCCCTTATCCCTTATAATCTCATCTCATTTTCATATCATTTTATGCCATGTTTCATAATAATCAACTTCGTTTCGTTTCATAATATCATTATTCATATAAAAAAGTTTTCATTAAAATAAAAATAAGACTTAAACGTCTTAGTTACTAGGTCATAAAATCTCTTAAAAAAACTAATTAGGGGATGTATTGATTGCTCAGAACGTTAGTACCGGTAAAATGGGGCGATTAGGGATTGAGAGGCGAATCGGGAAAAAACCGGGAAAATCTTTCGATGCTCAATATAAGTTTTATATTCGTTGCAAAATCTTCCATTTTTTGTAGTTTAATAGTAGAATGTTGAAAGTTCACAAAACAACTCTGAATATGTATGATAATAGCTGCTAACTTATAAAAAATCGCGTTTCAAATTAACTTCCTGTGGTGGTAATTATTTTAGTGCTAGAAACTTTCCTCTCTTTTATTTATTTGATAATAATAGAAGACGACTATGATTTATAAACGTTATTTAGTGTTTGAACCAGCATATATATGAAAGGTAAGTCTCAGTTGTTATTGGTTTTAATGTATTTGATTTAATAAAAATACATGTAAAAATCTGTTGCTTTTGGGGATATTGGGGACGGCTTAGGTACAAATAACAACGAAAAAGGTGTCAATTGGGATGAGAATACGTGAAATGGAAACGACCTAAGTATAAATAGGTACAGGTTTGTAGGGTTGTCTATGTAGTTATAACAATATTTTTTAAATTTGTTGGTAAAAATCTGGTTTATTCAAAGCGAAATTGGGAATAAGTCTTTAGTTGAAATAGATAAGCAATTTAATATAAGTAAGTCGATTTTGCAGAGACATGTAACAAGATCAATGAAATCTCAAGGTGGACAAAAATGTCTAAGTAATACATAATAAAATATTTAATATTTGTTCAGAGTGGGGGTATTCATCTGATTAATCCATGGAATAACCGACACACCTAATCTCTTAACCCAGATAGAAATATCAGCACTGTCGATTGCACCTATAATTGAGGTGATGTCTGCCATGTACTTTTGTCAGTTTTTCAATTTTTTTTATTGATGATCACTTTGTTGGTGCAACTAAATAAATAAATTAATTAAAACTATATATAAAAATAAAAGTAGTGCCAACCCTAGCAAATTTCTCATTTCGTCCCAATTAACCGCAATTTTCGGGTAAATAGGGATTACACCTATTTTTGCATTTTTTGCTTAAACTGGAATGCTAGTTGCATAATTTTAAATTAGACAACAAATATGCCCCCAAGACTCAATCATTTTGATCCTGATATAGCATTATATACAAATATAACCTTTACTACCTTAAAATTGCTCATAAAGTTGGAATTTGTCCCTAATCGCCCCATTTTACGGTATAGGGTTTTTCAATAAGGACGCTGGAACTTTGACAGCTTATAGCGGCCATCTTGGTATAGCGATAGCTGTCAAATTTTAGCGTGAACACATAATTATGTCGTGACATTTCACCATGGAACGCTACACGCTTGTCCGGCGGTATTATGGTCCTTATTTTTTCGAAGAAAGAACTCTCAAGCAATATTTGAATTACAATTTTATTATCAAAGAAGTTTGACACTTAGAAAATGTGATTTAAAAACTTAATTTAATAAATCTGTATAAAAAAAATGACATTATATTAAAATAATAATATCGCACGGCTTCCAGAACTTCAGTCGCGTGAAGATGCAGATAACGATGTCCCTGTCGTCGCTGGTGGGCACGTCCACCACCTTCAGCGAGGAGTCGCTCCGCCGCGCGCTGAAGACCATCCTGGTGTACGCCGAGCGCGACGCCGACATGCACGACACCACCTTCCCGGAGCAGGTGCGACCTTACCGCGCTTTATCACCCATAGATACAGCCCACTGAGTTTCTCGCCGGATCTTCTCAGTGAGTCGCGTTTCCGATGCGGTGGTAGATTCTGCGAAGCACTGCTCTTACTAGGGTAATATAATATTTATATGAGTGTTGGACTCCCTACACCAGTTGCGGGGGCGTTAATGATGAGAACCTTTGTGAGGGTGAGAAATAATATTAATTTTAAATGCCCAGCGAAGCGGACGGGTACAGCTAGTATTTTATATTGCAGGTGAAAGATCTAGTGTTCAACCTCCACATGATCCTATCGGACACGGTAAAGATGAAGGAGTACGCCGAGGACCCGGAAATGCTGCTGGATCTCATGCACCGCGTGGCGCGAGGGTACCAGCACAGCCCGGACTTGAGGCTCACCTGGCTGAACAACATGGCGCAGAAGCACATGGAGGTGAGAGGTCCTTGTAGGTTGGTGTGAGCCAGCTCGTGGTCTACAGGAACCCAGACATCACGAAGAGAGTGCGCACATCGTGAGACCTGAAGATGTGAATTCAAAGGTTTCGTTATATCGACAGTACCGAACACATGGTAGCCTCGCGGTAAAGAAAGGCAGGATGGTTAAAAAAAAGGATGGTAATGCCTGGTTTGGAATGCGCCTGCAGTGTTGGAAACGAAGGTTAGAGAGATAATCACCTAATAAACTGGTGGAATTGCGTCCCATGATCTTACTCGGGTAGGCACCGCAGCCTTGTATACCTTTGCTGTGAAGCAGTAATGTGTTCCGGTTTGATGGGTGGGGCAGCCATTGTACTATAGAACTGAGACTTACACTTAATGTCACCAAATCTCGATCATTTTAGTACATAGTGCTTCTTGAACACTTTTTTTTATTGCTTAGATGGGTGGACAAGCTCACAGCTCAGCTGGTGTTAAGTGGTTACTGGAGCCCATACACATGTACAACATAAACGCGCCATCTACTTTGACTATCTATGGGATTTTATGACCTGGTAACTAAGACCTTTAAGTCATATCTTATTTTAATTTATATTCTTATTTTTATGAAAAATGATAATATGCAGTGAAATGAAATGAAGATGATGAATTTGAGACATTAATCAACTGAGATGAAATTAAATAAAATGAGATGATATGGGATGAAATATAATCTCAGTAAAATGGTGGTAATTTACTGAGATTTTTTCAGTGGACTTTTTGGAGGATCTCGAGAAGTTATTGTCCAGCGGCTTTGTTTCATTTTCCAACATTTGTGCACTTTCACAGATACTAAACATTTAATAAACCACCGTTATTACACATTTAAACCTGAAGAAACACTAAATAGACAAAATAAAACAAATCACAACCTCACTCCTCGCGTTCCCGCCAAAAAGTCACCCACCTTGAGATACAAGTACCGTACAATGGGGTAAATAGGGACAAAATCGACCTTCAGATTGAATTTTAAAATAGTTCCAATTAAATAGTCACTGCTCAACCAAAGAAATAAGTTGAGTCTTGAACGTACCTAGGTGATAAAAACCGTTACATTATTTTAATTATTCATTTTAAAGAAATAATGGGTAAAATAATGGCCGTCCCAATTTACCCAGCATCCGGGGTAAATTGACACGGTTAAGGGTTAAATTGGGATATTTGTAAGGGTTGTCAACTCGCAGTACTGCGATATATAGGTAGGTGCCATATAATTATTTATATGGACCGAAATGATGAATACAATCCATAATTTAAGCACAATACACAACATAGTGTAAATTAAGCTGGTTTCTATTCCGAAGCGATGTGACGTGAATGATAATCAACAATACAATGATCAAAAAAAGTATGTGCATGTTATATTTTAGAAAATTATTATTTAATTTCCTTAAAAATCACAACTCTGAAACAAAATCATAAAATAGAATAAAAAATAGAAAACAAAAGGACTGGAAATGCAATAATACAATTTTATTTAATCAACATTTTCAAAATAATCTTTGAGCAAGAGTAAGATATCAGGTGAATAAGATAAAAAAACAGCTTTATCTGATTACTGCCAATAATAACAAAAATAAAAGAAATTCTTTCTAAGCTAAATAACTAAACTCAATTAATTCACTCACTCATAATTGGATATCTCGGATTTTTAATTAATGTTACATTTAAAATCTGAGGCCTGTTTTTATTTGTGTGTGTTCGTTGTGAATGTTAACAAAATCATGATTCGACGCGTGAATAGATTCTGAAATAACAAAAGTTTTGATTCGTTTGAGTTCTTTTAACTTTTAATTTTTTTTATTGCTATAAAGAACATACGACCGGGCAGATATTACAAGGTAAATGTCGCGAAAAAAAGTAATGATATATATACTTTTCTTTTACCTATAATACTTACATAAACTAACTGATAAACACATTAACCTTCTTTACATCACGCAATTAAGTGATAGTATAGGCTAAAAAATCTATTATAAGATATCAGTGACAGCCCTAACAAGCCATCCCTATTTTGTCTTTTGGCGTTCCAATTTTGTGTTTTCTCGTCCCTAATTTTTCCAGTCTCGTTCTAAATTACCCTACATACGTCCCAATTTTCCCCAAAAAGAAAGGAAAAAATATACATTTTTTATTTTGTCGAAATATTGTATTTAAAATAAGAATATTGCAACTTACCGTTTGTTGTGGTATTTCCAGGTGTATTAAAAACTTATATAAACTGTGATCTTATTGAAAAAACAACGATAATATTACTTTTTTTAAAAGTTCTTTAAGCTGTTTTAAAACGCACTTTTCAACCACTATTTTAAATTTAATTTGACGAATTTTTGGGACCAACTAAACTCATGTTTAGTACTTCCATAGTTAACTTGGTTTTTCTTCTATACATTGATAAATATTACCTTAAAGAAAATTAGGTAGACTCCGTGCTACAGGTACTTTGAGAATCTTCCGCAGGTTTGTCCCAATTTACCCCAGAATCCCAATTTACCCCATGTCATGGTAGTAAGGTGTGAAGTGTAGTTGTGTGTGGTGCAGCGCTCGAACCACGCGGAGGCGGGCATGTGCCTGGTGCAGGGCGCGGCGCTGGTGGCGGAGCGGCTGGGCGCGCGCGGGCGGGGCGCGCAGCTGCTGCACCGCGTCACGCACAACGCGCTGGACGAGAGCTGCCCCGACGCGCTGCACCACCACCTCACGCACCACGAGCTGCAGGCGCTGCTGGACCACGCGGCCGGCGAGCTCATGGCGGCCGGCATGTACGAGACCGTCAACGAGCTCTACAAGGTGCTCATCCCCATCGCAGAGGAACACCGCGACTACAAGAAGCTGGCTAACATCCACAGGTACGCGCGCTCCACTACTCCACGCGCAGTCACTGCTGGAGCTCCGGGACCGTGCGCTGTCTCGTTCTTACAAAAGTGTTCAAAACTTCTTTAGAATCGTGATTTAAAACTCGATGAAACGAAATGAAACGAAACGAAAAAATAAGTCCATAGAGACACAAACACATAAATGATTAGGATTCAGCCGGCGAGAGAATGAGATAGAACACATTATACGTGAAGTTAAAATATCAATTCACAGAGAGCACTACCTCATATTATAAAAGATGGTTTACCATTATTTCTATTGAATCGCGGTGACGAGATGTTACACAGTTGATAGACGTTCTCGTATTTCTCTTGCCTAATCATATTTACCTGGCGTAGGGTTACCGTGATCATGCAGGCGGTTTCCCCAAGGTGAAACTGCTTCGTTGCACTGCGGAGTGGTTGACCCTTGCGATTATTTTTACTTTTTATAAGTTTCACTGCTACCGTGTGTGACTTGCACTGCACACACACTATTTTTTTTTAATTCGATTACGTCGCAATCCTAAGAAAAATACATATTTTTTATATTTAAAAAAAAAACTTACGTGTTTCAAAATGTGTGATTGTCAGCAAGCTGCAGGAGGCGTTCACCCGCATCGAGCAGCTGCACGGGAAGCGCGTGTTCGGGACGTACTTCCGCGTGTGCTTCTACGGGCAGCTGTTCGGGGACCTGCACCTCCAGCAGTTCGTCTACAAGGAGCACGCGCTCACCAAGCTGCCCGAGATCTTCAGCAGGCTCGAGGTCAGCCCCCGCACAACCCACCACAGTCCCATCACGAGCTTTTTTTATTGCTTAAATGGGTGGATGAGTTCACAGCCCACCTGATGTTAAGTGGTTACTGGAGCCCATAGACATTTTTTTTTTTTTTATATTGCCCTTGTAGGCAGACGAGCATACGGCCCACCTGGTGGTGAGTGGTTACCGTTGCCCATGGACTTCAGCAATGCCAGGGGCAGAGCCAAGCCGCTGCCTACCGCTAGACATCTACAACCATAAATACGCCACCCCCTTGAGATATAAGTTCTAAGATCTTAGTATAGTTACAACGGCTGCCCTACCTTTCAAACTGAAACGCATTACTGCTTCACGGCAGAAATAGGCGGGGCGGTGATACCTACCCGTGCGGACTCAAAAGTGGTCCTACCACCAGTAAATAATGCCTCAAGTCTAACGCGACGTGTGTCCCGCAGAACTTCTACAGCCAGCGCTTCGGGGCCGAGAACGTGGTCATCATCAAGGACTCCAACAACGTGGACCCCGCCACGCTGGACCCGGACAAGGCGTACATCCAGATCACATACGTGGAGCCGTACTTCGAGCCTCACGAACTCCGGAGGCGCCTCACGCACTACGAGCGGAACCACAACATCAGTGAGTAGGGGTGGCGGGGGTGGGGGGCCTCAGACACTAGACACCTACGAATAATAAAACTATAGAACAATAATTACGCTTCAAAAATGGTTCCACGAAAATAGCTACCGCGGAGGGCGGGGCTTAAAATAGCTACAGAACGGCGCGCCAGTTCGCTGTCGCACTCGTGTCGTGCGGTCGTGTTGCGTCAGTTTTCGGTTGAACAGATAATTATTATTTTGCGCTTTTTAATTTTGCAAATATGCAATCGTGTGTCGTGAAATGGTGTAAAAGCCATACAGATATGAAAAACAGTGGAATTAGCTTTCATAAGTAAGTATACAAACATCGTAAAATTTCATACTATTGATGATGGATAGTGTTATGCAATATGTACGATTACTTTTTATATGCAGTAGTAGTTCTTTATACTGCTCAGATAAAACATAAATTTTATTTAACTAACAAGTGTAATAGTATGCAGCGATAAGAAATGATTTTATTACTGCAGATTTCCGACAAATGAATTTTAACGTAAAAAATGAATAGCCGCTTGTGATAGTACGCTTGGAAAGAAATGAAACAAATTGGACGCATTGCAAAAATAGCTCAATATGCAGCATACACTTTCAAACAGGCCATGTACAGACTTCAAAGTGGAAGTCGTGTGCCTTACACCTTGTATAGTAGTAGTGGTAGTAGCAGTAGCAGTAGCAGTAGTAGTGAATTAATTACTACTGCATAGAGTCTTCGTCATAAGGGTGCGCTGGGCGGCGCTGGCGAACCGTGACGTTGGCGCGACCAATCGCGTGCAAGCGTTTGTTTATGAAAGAGTGTGAGTGTTCGTTGTATTTGCTTTTATTTGTGTGCGTAAATGGAACCATAATCGAAAGTGCAATTGAAGGCAAGTTACTGTTCCATAGTTTTATTATTCGTAGCTCTAGACACCAGACCAGGGTGACAAAAGAAAATCAACCTGCTAATAAAGCTTGGTGTTAACGCCTACGAAATTTTACTGAGCAATATTGAAATTTTATTTATGTTCACCGACACAATTTTAAACACACTTCAATTAATGGCCGCGCCAACCTAACTTGTTCGCAACGCATTAAATTAACAAAAACCTGTATAAAGGAAATACAAGCACAAAATCGATTGTGGAAGTTTTATTGAAGAAACCCAAGCATCCAACACTTGGTTTTGTTAATTTAAAATACACGTTGCAAGACATATTGTGAGCCCGCCCAGGTAGGTGCCGCCATGTCGCCTATTTCTGGCGCGAAGCACTCGCGCATTCCGGATCGAAGAGTAGGGTAGTTGATAACAGCTCTGGAAATTTCCATCTCATGTCTCAAAGCGAGTGGTGACGTTCAGACCGAGTCTAACACCGACAGTAACCACGTGTGCTTTGAGTCCGTTCACCCATCTACGAAATAAATGCAACACTGGATCCTATATTGAAGTAATTTAACAGCCGTCTGGTGTAGTGGTAAGTGACATGGTCACTACACAAGGGGGTCGCGGGTTCGAATCCCACCAGGGGAAAATATTTGTATGATAAATATAAAATGTCTTTTCCAGGCTTATGGATGTATATTAAATAAATGTATGTGTATAATAAAAATCTTACATTTCCGTAATCTGGTACCTCTAACACAAGTTCTTTACGAACTTAGCACGGGACCAGTTACGAAGCGTGATAGTTTAAAAAAAAAATTGTACCAAATGTTTCGCACGCTAATATCCTGTACGTAGGCCGCCAGCCCTAGAGCTGGATCGGTACTAACGAGTGCTCACGCGCAGAGAGGTTCATGTACGCCACCCCGTTCACCGCGGAGGGCCGGGCTCACGGAGACATCGTGGACCAGTGCAAGCGGAAGACCATCCTGACCACCGCCCACCACTTCCCCTACGTCAAGACCAGGATACAGGTGACGTAACCACCACGCCGCTACAGTCCCCCAGTAGTGTGAGAGTGAAGTGTGTCAGCCCTCAGCGGTCTGTACTGCGTGATAGATGTGATTGTATGTTTTTAATCAATCACATAAAGTAGTTAAATTTTCTCATAAACAAGTTAAACTAATACACAGAACACTTTTGTGACGACGACTGACCACATTTATTTTTAATATATGATGAACGCGTTCCAGGTGGTCCAGAAAACTCAAATAATCCTCTCGCCGATCGAAGTGGCCATCGAGGACATACAGAAGAAGGTATGTCGCCCGACAAGCTAACACGAGAATACTGTACATAATTTCAACTATCCGACAAGGAACAAGGCGTTGAACTTTAGCAAGTGGCACGAATACAATAGTCGATAGTAATTTTTGTTATGTAAAAACTATTATATAGAATTATTTTTTAGAATGTACGTATTTATAGTACCGTTGTCATTATGTTTTGTTTTAACAATGTCAAAACGAGCCTTCGACCTTACCCTAAAAATATATACATAAATGTAATCTTAAATCTGTAATGAACATTAGAAGTTTACATAGACAATTTACTATCAATGAAAAGAAAATTTCAAGAGACAGTAGACGTTATTTAATACAATGGGTGCGCGGTGTGTGCAGGTCGCCGAGCTGAGCGCGGCCACGAGCGCGGAGCCGGCCGACGCCAAGATGCTGCAGATGGTGCTGCAGGGCTGCGTCACCACCACCGTCAACCAGGGGCCGCTCGAACTCGCGCAGGTACCGCCCATCTACTCCACCCACCTACCACTTCCGGGTGGCGGTCTGATGGTGTTGTCCAAGGCAGAACTCGGAAGCCCGAGACCGTTTGATAACTACAAGTGGCCCGCTGCAGTTCCGCGAACAAACTATTCAATTACAAACGTTTAGAATTTATACTTATATATTATAAATTAACTATACGTAATTAAATATTATAATTTATTTTTATTATTATTATAGAAATAGTTACGCGCTGGGGTTCGGGATAAATAAAACTTCTACCGAAGTACAAATTAAGAAAAACCCTTGAATACTTAAAAGTAAGGCACACTTTAATCTTCAATTAACTTCTGCTGCTACGCTTCCTACGATCCGTTCGCTATTTCACTTCGAGTAGAACCGCTTACTAACCGCCTTCGTGTCATCTCTGCAACGCTTTTATATTTAAAACATCTCTACAACTATAGAGAACATTCCTGACTGATCGAGTAGTATCGATATGTGTTTCCGCTGTTTGATAATAGATGGCGTTGTACTTCTCGAGCGTTCTCGAGTTTACTAGTTCTTTCGATATTCGTGTGAGGTTTAGTAGTTACATATTATTATAATTAAATGTTTAATCGCGTCAGCGACCGCGGTGGATCGCTATACGTTAACTACTGACTAACTCGTTGGGTCTTCGTGTCCCCTTGCGGAGGCACGGGTCGGGCCTCGGGGCAATCCCCTCTGCCCGGGCTTGCTACTCCCTGCCTAACGTGGCAGAGGTGATGATTTTCCCTGCTGGCTATTTTCATTATGGTGATGTAGTGATGTAGTGATAAGGATGAGGCGATGATTACAATGAGGTGATCCTATTCAAGTAATTGGTAGGTAGTGAGTTTGTTTAATGAGAATGATGATGGTGATCTGCAACGTTCCGATCAATCAATTATTCTGGCGGGCTAGGGACTGACTAACGTATGCTGCTCATTACTATAACTGCATAGTAAGCTAAGCGGGGCGGGGTACCATTCCCCTACATTCGTTTCTGCTATCCGACGATAGATGGCGATTATAGAAGATACTCTTACCGGCGTAACAATATTATAATACATAAGTATAAATTCTAAAAGATGAGCGACCCCCATCCCGGATCACACTAAGTCGTTCTGCCCGATCGTTGTTGATCGTGTGATCCTTAACTCGACAGACCGGAAGTGTCGTTATAATGTGATGTTGTGACGTGGCCAGGTGTTCCTAGCGCCGGTGGCTGACGGCACGCAGCCCCCCACCCGCCTCACCAACAAACTGCGGCTCACCTTCAAGGACTTTTACAAGAAGTAAGTTCTGACCGCTTGCCTCATCACACGCTTTCTCTTACTCGCACTCAACTAGATGTCCCCTCATCATCACAACACGGACCTCCAGTTTTGAAGTCGTCGTGACTTAAATGATAAGACTATCTAGCGATGCAACGGTGTCCGAATCCCACTGGCGGGTACCAATTTTTTTATAACAATATATGTAACTATAAATTTTAATATGTAAACTAACAAATTGAAATAAAATATTTACTTCTTTTAAAAAAGCAGTGGTGATTGAAAAAAAAAATTTTTTTGAAATAAATTCCCACTTTATATAGTAATCAAAGAATTTCGCATAAAAATCATTAAAAATCATTACGTTTGGAAATTAATTACAATAAAAAAATATTTGAAACTATTGCCAGGTGTCAAGACGCTCTAAAGAAGAACAAGAACCTGATCGGTCTGGACCAGCGCGAATACCAGCGCGAGCTGGAGCGGAACCTGCAGCGCCTCGCCGCCAGCCTCCAGCCGCTGCTGCAGCACCCGCCCTCGCACGCCGCGCTGCTCAGGTACTCCACGCCCAGGTCCTCTTGTGACGCCGCGCGGGTAGGAACCACCGCCCTGCCTGTTGCTGCCGTGAAGCAGTAATGCGTTTCGGTTTGAAGGGCGGGGCAGTCGTTGTAACTATACTTGAGACCTTAGAACTTATATCTCAAGGTGGGTGGCGCATTTACGTCGTAGATGTCTATGGGCTCCAGTAACTACTTAAAACCAGGTGGGCTGTGAGCTCGTCCACCCACCTAAGCAATAAATAAATAAAAGCGTGGTATATTGTCAAACAACGCGTAAGGTCTACCTCTAAGGTGATTCCCGCCGATGATAGAGCTTGTTGCGATATCGGCGTCAACATGTGGTACGAAGTCGTGATACATTTTGGGTGTCAGTGAAGCAGCCGTTATAGAATGAGATTTCGACTTCATGTTTCACGGGGACATGTTCTCTTGTAACAACTTAACATCAGGTGCCCTCGTATCACCAGCTACTTTACTATAATAACAGCTCTAAACGCTTCAGAGTATTTTAAAATAATTCGATAAAGAACTGCCTCTACATTGAACAAGCCAAGCTCTGACTTCCCTTGTCTTCCTCCTGCTCCCCGCTGCACACAAACATGTTAATAAGGTACTGGCTCCGAGCGGATCCGGCGCGGCCCCCGGGCGACCGACGCTTGCCCTTAACGCAACATTAATTTAAATTGTTTTTCTCTTCCAGCAACGGAGTGAACAAGGTTGACTACAAGTTCCAGGCATAGACAAGGATAGGTCTCGAATTTCGCTACAATTATAATAATATATCTAGAATCACAGTTAATATACCCAATAAACATTGCTATATAATACTGAAATCGTTTCCTACCCACACGCACCCACCGAATCCCAGTATATTTAAGTCATTCAAAGTACATTCACAATGTACGAGCACCGCGAATAAACACTTTATAAATAGTATTTTTTTATAATAATAAGATTATGAAGTAGCCTTGTCGTTAAGCAACATATATTTACTTCATTATATTTCAGAAGCTACCTATTAATAATGAATCTCATATTTAATAGGTTCACATCTAATTTTGCTATGTAAAGTTATGGCGCAGTAAATTATGGTTAAATTTATCACCAGCCTACGGTCGTCCGCTGTTGAACTAGACCTCCAGCTCGCTGAGTTTCACGCCGGATCTTGTCAGTGGGTCGCGATTCCGATCCGGTGGAAAATTCAGCGTAACACTGCTCTTGCTAGGGCTAGCGTTTGCAAATTCTCTCAGATTGAGTCCGTGAGCTCACTCACCTGTCCGGACATAGCTGGAATAACCCCTTAGGCTACCAGCGAACCTGTTTGCGGAAAAAAATCCTTCACAAAAAGGCCTTCAAGGGACTGGCCACGAGGACCACTTCCACCAACAGGTCATCATTCCAGCATGTGGAACGCTACCCCCTCACCGCGCGGTCTCCTATAGACTGCCTTTGGTCCCGAGCGGTTGTTTATTCCACGAGTAACGTGCCCTGCCGCAGTTCTCGAGGATGCTCAGATTCGGTATAGTTCCGATAGCTCTTGACTCCCAGTGCCGTACCCCAAGTTTGGCCACAAATAGGGGCCAAGTTAATTCGCTTTCTCATTACTGTTTAGATAAAGTATTGAAATTGAAGATTTGCCATTTCATCGAACGTCTCCTTTAACAGACCGAACTAGACTGTTAATTTAAAAAAAACAACATTGCGAGATCAAGAGCAACTTTCGATGCTGTACTGTTAAAATAATGTGTGACTGGGATTCGTCGTCGGTCTCCTTCGGTAACGGCCCTGGTTGGCTCTTATTATTGATAAAAAGAATAAAATAGTTCCATCTTCGTCGCCAATTATTCACTTGGGAGTCATTAATGCGAAGTACAGTCCAAAATTTGTCTAATTTTATCAGTTTTCATTCCCGTTTTACTTTCATAGATTCCTTTTTATATCTTGGTCAAAAATCATCTATGAATCAAAATTACTTAATGCTTAAATCAGGAATAATTGCAGTCCTTCCGACAATGTCGTGTAAGTTGCGCGGTAGATATATGGCAACGGTCGTCAATAAATTTTAATAAAATAAAATTGTTAGTGCTTTTCTCAATGATTCATCTTCACGTTTAGAAAAAGCTGATGATATGTTTAATCAGGAAGTATCGGAGTAAAAATGGAAAGGATAAAATGTATTTTTAACCACAGTATTTATATTACCCAATTCTAGTTATTTTTATTTTTGTGGGGATATTAAGTACATTAAAGATGCAATTCCAGCTGCAAGTGTCGGAGTAAAATATGCTAATTTCAGATTGTGAAGACTTAACTTACCCTAATGCTTATAAGTTGAACTTAAATTATAAATTTCAAATATCTTTTTATTGCCTTCCTAGCTAGACGAGCATAAAACCTACCTGGTGTGTATCAGTGGTCACCAGTGGTCACCAGTAGTCATCGTCACCATGGACATCAAGTACACAAGTTACATGTCAAACTAAACTTACTTTGAAAGCGTGTTATTATCGCCCACGAAAACAGTAAAATAAAATCGTTAGATGAAGTATATGTAGTTTAAATAAAAACTCTCAAACTATTTCTTTCAGAATTTATTATGTCATTAAAAATACACTTGTATTAATTTGTTCTAGTTATTAATCAAATAAAAGTCAAACATATTACGAAATAAGTTTTATTTTCATTGAATGTTGTGTACGTCATATAAAACATTTGTAATTTACATAATAAATACATACATACGTATTAGAGTGATATTTCAATAAGACTATTTGGAATTTAAATAAACTGGATGAGTACATGCAAGAACTATGAGGCTTGGCGACATTGTCGGTGCGTCCCGCGTGAGGTCGCGACGTACTATACTTAGTTTTTTAAGTCATATGTTCATAACGTGAGTGTGTTCAAGAGTGCTCTCACTAGTTAGCTAATATTAATTCAGCTCCTATCGATGTGGCCGCAGTAGGCTTACACAGCTTAAAACAATCATCACTAATACAGAATGCTAATTTGTAAGAGCTCATTTATTTCACTAAGCGAAGGCCAGCATTTGAAGAAAAACGGTTGATTTTTCGAACTAAACTCACGGTGAGGTCATGGCGGGTGAATGTCGCCGTCCAACTACCCTGAACTCTCAATCTCCGCCGCGAGACCCAAGATTGCTTCCCTAAATATCGCGTACCGTGACGATGTAAACTGGCTACTAAGTAAATAGGAATTAGGCGAAAGACTAAAATATTCAACTTTGAAACAGCACTAACGTAATTTTCGCGTTTGACCAAACTGAAGAGAAGTTCTAAAGGACGTGTTACTAATTTATTGATGTCTGGATGACATTATGTTACACATTGACCAGTCTCCGAGCATATCATATATATAAAATGTTATATAGGAAAACGACATTTTGATGTAAATTTTGAACGCCATGTTGAAAGCGATCATGTGGTAGACATCATGACGGAAAAATTTATTATTCGCGTAGGGGATGATGATTCTGACTCAAGTGATGATGAAAGCTCAAGTGACGACAGCGACGACGATGAAATGGCCACCTCCAGCACCAACACCGCGTCCTCATCAGGTTTTCACGTCACCCACGACGACTTAATAGAAGGAGTTTCGACTTTAATTTAATTTTGAGGGTTCCGTACCTCAATAGGAAAAAAACGGAACCCTTTGATCACTTTGTTGTCCGTCCGTCTGTCTGTTCGTATTCAGATTAAACATTATACGCAGAAATTAAGCATGTTTTAATTCTATTTCATAAAATTCTATCTTATATATTATTTTTTAATGTACCTACCATGTACGATCTTACCACCGTACAATTTTATTATAGTTAAGGAATGCCGACCACCAACAGTACCAGAACGTTATGCTTACTCGCGACGCGATCCAGTTTTTGCCGCGTGACAACAAATAATATAATACGAATTTAATTACAGTCAAGAGAGTGCATCACTAACTATCGTACAATTCACATCAAGAGAAATTATCATCTTTATAACTTTATCTAAGCTTTAACTTTCATAAACTACTTTAACTTCAAACTTATGATATCTTTCTACGCTCTCCTGTAACATGTAACTGCATACAGGTACAAGAGTACAGAACTACTAAACTGTACATACCAATAACCAATATACGAAGCCGCGAGCGAAGGATTACTTCAAAAATAAAACAAAAGTACTTAGTATTTTCGTGCGCGAGTGTATCCATGCGCAAACACACCCCCTCCACTTTCTTCCAGCGTTCTTTTTACGTGACGCGCGCTCTACCTTGTTGAGGAACTTTATTCCGGGTAGAGAGCAGACGCGCGCACTTTCTGTTCTCTCGCGGCCCAACAATATGCGAGAGCCCGGGGACCGCGCCGCGCGGCATCAGCAGTAAGTACACACAATTATTGCACTATATTCAGTATTAATTCTAAAATGAGGAATGAGACTTATCTGGCCATCAGAGTGCTGGAGTTGATGGTCGACCTTCAGTCGAGAGCCGTCGAAGTGTTCGGAGCACATTTACCTGGTGGGCGCACGACCGTTTCCCACCACAGTACAACAGTAAGCGTCCCCACCGGACCCACGCAGCCAGAGCTAACGACGACCCCGCGACGCCACACGATTTGCATTTCTTACTCACGGAAAGCTTATTAAAATTAAATGATTATCCTTTAATTATACACCAATAGTAACAAGGGGTTGTTATTGCACGTACTCTGGTACAGTAATCGGCATGAGTCGTGAGCTCCACAAAGAGTGGGGAGCCGTGCGCCCATCGTACCTCCTCCTCTTCCTCCTCCAGTTGATCGCTCAATGCTGAGTATCGTGATGCGCCCGCCTGTGAACTTTTCTTGTAATTTGTATCCACTAATGTCGGTCAGTGGTGCAGTGAAGTGCGTGGCTCAGTCTCGTGTTCAGATGCTCGCACACTTGGTCATTCCAATTCATCGTTCTCGTCGAACCCGTCGCTTGCGACGAAGGGCTCGGCGATTAAATTAACCCATAGACACAGCACACTGAGTTTCTCGCCGGATCTTCTCAGTGGGTCGCGTTTCCGATCCGGTGGTAGATTCTGCGAAGGACGGCTCTTGCTAGGGTTCGTGTTAGCAACGTCGTCAGGTTTGAGCCCCGTGAGCTCACCTACTAGTTAAAGTTGCGCTGAAATAGCCTCTCAAGGTAGAAAAAAAAAGTCATTCCATCTTTTTTGGGTCCGACCTCTGAATCGTCTTCCATCCACTTTTCCCGTCACTATGAGTCTCTCCAGATTGTCAGAGGGTTTTCTTGCTATTGGACCAAAATATTGAAGCACTCTATATAGGCATTTAGTGGATAGCCTCTGATCAACTTTTAGCTCATTGAGGATGGAAGCGTTTATCCGGAAAGCCGTCCAAGGGATGCGCAACATGCGCCGCCAGCACCACATCTCAAACGCGTCTATGCGTCGCCTGTCAGACTTTCAAGGTCCAGGTCTCAGCCTCATACAAATTTTTTTAAGAAAACGAGCGTCTCAACAATTTGCACTTTCGTCTTCTTGAGTATGTTACGATCTCTCTATATTTTGTTTAGCCGGCTCATAACGGATTTGGCCATTCCGATGCGTCGCCTTATTTCGGTTTCCGATCCACCCCTATTGGTAATAATCGACCTGAGGTACACGAAAATCTTGACGATGTCATATTGGCCTAGAATATTTTTCTCGTCAAGGGTGCCGGATTTATCCACGATCATGATCTTTGTTTTGGACTGGTTGATCTTTAGCAGCAGCTTCATCCAGCGCATCGTACACCAGCACCACCGCGCCACCCCTACTCAAGACTCGTGCCGATTACTATATTTCGGAAGTAAATGGGTCATATTGTACCGTCCGGAATAATTGACTGTTATTTAATATACAAAGTAATTCTGTTAAAAAAAATCTTTGTTTATTTAAATGTACAAAAACCGTTTTGCATTACAAGTATTATGTTCATTGTGTATTTTATTAAATACATTTTTATAGTCATTCATATATTTTTAAGTATTTTAAATTAAAAATAAACTAACAATTCTCAAAACAAAACTGCATGTCCTCATCGAGTCTGAAGCAATAGACAACTGGACAGCAATTACGAAACAATTTATAAAGGAGGTTTAATTAAGTTTAATTGAACATTCACAAACTATTTTTGTGAAATAATAAAGATTTATATTTTAAACCATCAAATAAAACCTAATAATTCATCATTTAAACTATTCTTAGTTTCAAGGTAGAATGATCCATGCAGAAGTCATAAGTGGCTAATCATTATAATTATAAATCAGTGTTTAATATATGGTTAGTTCGTTTTCTTGGCCCCAAATGACGTCACATGTAACCAATTTATGCCAGCCAGAATTTGTAATTTATGCAGCAAGTTTAAAAATAAAATCAATAAAATGTAGAATTACAATACAGCTGCACTCCGAGCTCTGTGAACTCTCGAAGATGAACTAAAAACAACAGACACCACCATTGAGTCCATACAAACACTTATGCAATACTTAGTTCTAATTATTCAGATTCGGATGGCGTGTGCCAAGTTAGCCTTTCTTCATAAAACGCTATTACCTGTGGCAAAAAATTTAAACGCTACATTCATGACATTAATAAAACCAATACAGATAGCAACTTTATAAAATAAGTCACGAGAAAGCTTGTTTGTACCATTACACACCCTATATCTCATTAGTAGAACAAAATATAAATGTAAGCTTAGTTGGTTCCATTGTCAGATATTGCGAATTTTAATTTAGTTTTGTTGATAGAATTTTTGAAGTCAGAGTCAGAAATCAGTAATGGAACACAAAGCAAACATAATAACACAGCCTACAAAGTATTTGATGCTCTATGTTGTTTCTTCTGAGAATAGTATGTTTACAAATTTTAAATTATCAAAGATTTAGGAATTATACCATACATTTCTAATTTTTTTAATTTTTTAATTGTAAATGTGTAGAAGTGTAGACTTTTAAATCAAACCATTCCATAAAAGTTGCTTTCGTTGTCACTAAAAAATGTATACAAACAATGCAGAAGACGAAAAAATACTTACTTGCTGCGGGCATTTAACATTAGCTACTTTAGCTGGAACTAGTTCAGCCTCATCAGAGTCTGTCCATTTGATCAAAAACATTAGTTCACCGGTAGCATCTGAAGCGCCTGAAATTTACATATATTTTTTTTATTTCAGTAAAATATATTTCTCCATGACTATAAAATAAAGGAAATGTTGGATTCTACATGTCATAATATGCCTTATGCATATTAATTAGATAATACAGTAATCCCTTTATAACACATTACTGTTATAATGTATTACGTTAGTGTATTAATGTATTATGTTATATTACGCGATTTCAGTCCTCATATAACACGAGTATTACCCCATATAATGCAGAGATTTGACACATCATACTTCTGTTGTACTGTGAAATTTATAATGATTCGTAGTTCATAATTGATATCGCATAACTTTGCACATTGTGTCAATTTTGTTGTCATAAAATTAAATTAAATTAATTTATTAAGTTAACTAGCGACCCGCCCTCGCTTCGCTTCGGAAACATTACACACACATGAAACCAAAAAAAAATAAAAAAAGTAGCCTATGTTCATCAGGGACAATGTCGGCTAATAATGGAAAAAGAATTTTTCAAATCGGTCCAGTAGTTTCGGAGCCTATTCGAAACAAACAAACAAACAAATCTTTCCTCTTTATAATATTAGTATAGAAGTATAGATGTTCAACCTCTTTGAATTGTAAAAAAATTGGTTGTATTTTATTGTGTGTACAAACTTGTTGTACAAGAATATTCCTACAGCACTTTTCCTATAATGCGGAACCAATCTACGGTGTTATAGGAAATGTTACGATTACTGTATATTCTAAAACTTCAGCACATTTAATGTTTTCCGTATAACTGTCAACTACTCTATAAATACTATACTTTTTTCTCTTTGAATGCCCAGCAATGTCTGAGTAAATATTATACCTATAATTTTCTCAGCTTTGAGTCCCTTATCAAAGCCTGTTTTGCTTTTTTCTTCCTTTCTTTCCCTTTTGCTCTCTTTTGGTTCGTCAGCCGACGAAACACTTGCCCCCCGACCTTTCCTACCAGAACTGGTCTCCTCACTTGATTCACGGACTCGCTTCTTAGCACGGTCCTCAGGTTTTTTTGAAGATTTCTGGAAAGGCAACATGTAAGTTAATATATTATTATGTAAAACGCAAATTAAAACAAAAGATTCGAAATTATTTGTGAGTATCAAAATTAATCAATTGGCTAAAGCCAAGAGGGGTGAAATCACTTGTTTCAACCAAAACCATTCACACACACAATTATAGGACCATTAATAGATGAAATTTCTATTTCTAGTTTTATGACATTGCAAGTATTGCTTATTTAAAACTGTTGGAATTTAGTGACCCAAAATATGCTTAAAGATCAAAGTCATTACGCAGCTCCTCAATGGTAAGAGAAGTATGATTTTATAAATTAATATGATTCCATTTTCAACTAACACTGAAAATTGAGTTAAATGAATAATTTCAATAAATTGTTCGAGACACAGTTACATATATTCCTCACTACTACGAATTTTGACTATACCTCTTTTTCTTTCCTGTTTTCTTCAAAAGTTTTAATCAGTTCCTCACAGTCTAAGTTTTCAACAGGCTCCCAAGTACTCTCTTCCTCCTTATAGCCTTTCCATTTCAATAAATATTGGATCTAAAATGAAAATAGCAAATTAAAAAACCGAATACATCAATCAATTCAAATTTAAGACCTGACATGAAACCTTGTTTGGGTACTAAAACATGATCAACATAACTATCCTCGCTTTTTGTATAAATTAACAAGATGAGAACCTGAGCGTCCGAACCGCTGCGAATAGCTAGTGTACTTAGCATTAAGCACTAAGGTTACCGCGAATTGGTTATCAAAACAAACGGGTAAAACCATGTTCATTAAATTTCATTTCACTTAAAATTAACATCAATGGTAACCGAAATTAATAAAACTTTAGAATCTTTCCATATTAATATCGTGGAATGTGTACTTCAAAATAAACTTAGTTAATATTCCGACCTTTCCTTTGACTGTACGTTTGTTAAGAACTTTCTCCACGACATATTCTTCCTCGCTCGATGCTTCACTGATCTCCGTTTTCTTCTCTTTTTTACCCATGCTGTGCTAAGAAAGAGCGGCACTTTTTCACAAAATCACGAGAATTCACGTAAGCGTCACTGCTATCAAGCTCCCAAAATGGCGCGTTCAAAATATATATGGCGCCGCTTATTGAGTCAGTAACGAAAAGTGACAATCGAATCATTCGATTTCCTATTCGGTCGAATGATTTGAAGGAATTATTATTGTCCAACTTAAAAAAAAATTGTCATATTGTCAATAACTACAGCGATAGTTTTCCTAAGTACCTATTACTGCAAAGCTATTTCAAATTTACATGATTTTTTAAATTTTAAATTAGTTTATCCTTTTTCGTTATGGCAATCGGATTACGGGCATCCTATTTGAAGATTATTGTTGTAAAATCTTACTAGCCCTGCCAGTAAATGGCGATATAGAAACTTTTCGAGCAACCCAAGAAGTTCTAGTACATAGTCTATTGATTTTTTCCAGGTTGGGAATGTGGTGTAGGGAACATTAATGTAGTTTTACAAGAGATAGAAGGCTAATGTCACTTGAATGTGTTATTAAGTGGTTATTACTCATGACGGCGTGTAGTTCTGCTATCTTCTCCTTTATTCTCAGTTAACTGTACAAAGAAAGTTGTTCTCATAGATCGTATGGAACCCTTAAGTCTACGAAAGAGCTTGGATTCAATCTGTGCATATCCAAAGTCCTCTGTGTGTTCTGATAAAACTTTTCAGATCATCCGATCGTCTCGGTTTTTTGCTCCTTATCATCGGGTTCTAATACGGCCGCAGTTTCAAAATTTTAGATTTATTTAGATATTACAAGTTTATGCAATCCAATTTCATCCCTTTCAAAGTGATTATAAAATTATTACGAATATTTGCACACTTGAAGAAGAGAAGAATATTTTTCGTACTTGTAATAATGCAATATTTTCTGTGGCTATTAGTTACCTAAGATTTATGTACTTTGTATTAAGTAAATTGTAAACTTAAATGCCCTTCTTAAAAGTCAGTAAAAATTGTCGTAACGTACATCTCTAAACTAGTCTCGTAACTTTGTACAACGATTGAGTATAAGATAACTATATATTAAGGAAAGCTCTCTAATGGCGAATTATTATTTGAATCAGATCAAATAAGTTACCAAAACTGAATAGTAACTGAATAATTCAGTTGGTCTTGACAGATCCAAGTGGCAATGTGGAAGACAGTTTCTTATTGGACCTGATTCCATTATCTTGATTGGTAAAAAAGAAGAAAAGACAGAGTTTGCAGTGCTATCGAGTTTATTTTTTCTAACTGAACTATGATATATTAGTACCGACCTAAATAAAATTGAAATAGTGAAATTGTCTAGAAGTCTTAATTATGTATGTACTAGAAGTATTGCTTAATGTATCTTTGATTGTTTTTAAATTAATTAATTATTTGTTTTAATAAATTTTATAATGCATGTATATTTAACTGTATTTTAAGTTACAGTCATTAAAAAAAGAAAAACTAAAATGCAAAAATTGATTAAAAATTTCCAATGTTAGTCAAAAGTTTCTCTACCACTTCCAAATATCGATTTTGCAAATTTACCTATCTCTAACTCACTTGCGTTGGCCAACATTGCAAAACACTTCTTTCTGTCTGTATCTTTCTCACATTGTTGTTATTGCTTTTGTTAAAAAAGTAATTGTATGACATGTTTTATTTTCCCTAGTTTTTTCATTAGTTACACAAAATTAGTTTGAAAAAAATAATGCAGCTTGTCTATTTTGAGGAATTAAATAAGCAGTGAAGGACTATGTATTTAATTTAATGTGTGAGTGAGAGGAAATAGATTAAAAAAATTAAGGTTGTCACCATTGGAAGTAATTTTTTAGTAAAAAAAAATCTGGTTGGTGTAAACATGTAAAGTATTTTATTTTTACTACATATAGCTTCTCATTTATGTTACATTAAAACAAAAGCTATGAGATCTATGCAAAAAGCTCGCTTGTTTATTCAAGAACGCAATAGCGAAATGACGGGAAAGACCACTTGTAACTTTATTAGTTGGGACCATCGATATATTACCACGATGGTAATATATCGATGGTTGGCACACTCTGTCCGCAAGTTACGGCCAAAGCGTTACAGAATTGTGTTGAAAAAACCGTGCTTTGATGAACTACCTCACAGCCTACCTCAAATCTAGTTTAAAATGGTTACCTAAGCACATAAAAATCACAATGAATGAATCCCGCCTCTCACCTTAAGGCACGAGGGCAAAGTCCAAGTTGCCGTGAATAAAAGCTATCGCACCTTTCAAACCAGGAAGCTGCTTCTTTGCTAAAGTCGCCAGGATGGTGGTAGCAATCCGTGCAGCCTTACAATGCTATACCAGCACTAGATGTCGGTTGACGATAGTAGTATTTAATTAATTGATTTATTTAGTTGTACCAAAAAAGTGATCATGAATACAAAACATTGACAAATTGACAATAAGTACATGACAGGTGTCACCTCAATTATAGATGCAATCGACAGTGCAATAGTTAACAGTATCTTGAAATTAGAAAAGTAAAAATACAATGAGTAATTTTAAGAAATATGAAATTCAGAATGGTGCTTTGTCACTACGTAACAAAAAATATAATATCTACACTTATTAAAAATTAATGTATATAACTTGGTTTATAAAATTGGTTTAATAAAAATTTTAAACACGGAATTTTTTATTTAGCTCTGAAACTAGCAGTCATCACAACAGTCTGCAATATTCGTAATCTAAATAATGCCTACAATTAAATGTCTACGTCAATCCTACTAGTGATATCTGAAACTTGAGAGAAGCAAATAATATAAATAATAAAAGCGTATTAAAAAAGTGTTTGTTTAAGGGATTTTATTCCAAGAGACTGAATGCCAACCCTAACAAAATTACTGTTCTGTCTACGAAATTCACATCTTGACGAACTTCATGTTTATTTCATTCATTTTCGTTGCATTACTTGCCAGTTGCCTGCCTGTATCAATCAAAACACGGCTGACCGTACGTTCGTTTCGTAGCAACTTTCATTTCAGTCGTGTCGTTCCCTTCTTGCTGGGTTGATTGTTGTGTTTAGTGGTGTTATCAAACGAGTGGTTTGCGTTAAATTTATCAGTGCTTTTTAGTAATATAAACATAGCTATTGTGTAAATTAGTGTTATATCAACTAATCAACTTGTGTTCCAATTAAACTTACAATTAAAACAGTTGAAGTGTCTATTCCACTCGATTATTTCAATTTGACTTTTGACGTCACTTTGAACTACCAATCAGTTGGCGGTATAGAGAAAACAACTACATTGATACTGTCGTGCTTGTTTTGGTTCGAGGTAACAATAATATTGAAGGAAATGTCTAATGAGACGTAAAAAGTGATCATCAAAATGCTTTTAAAATGTACTGCGGACGGGCGGCCAATCAAAGAAAACGGAACACCGGGAAATCATGCGAGCGGCACCAGAGGTAAGGTCAGAAAATGTTCAATACAACTGTGTTGAATAGTGTTGATTGAACAATCTAATTGTTGAAATGACAAGTCCAGATTTGAAATAAGAACATTGCATGTTTTTTTTTAACACTTATTTTAGATTTCTTTTAACTTATCAGGCTAACCCCACAGGTTTGTTTTAATTTTAGAATAATATATAAAGCTGCATTGAAATTTATAAAATTGGTATTCCTATTATTTTTTCAGTACAATTAAACGTCGCATAGGTATTTACATTCTTTCTTGTCTGTAAATCATGGAATAAAATAAAAGTTGTAACTTTTTACAATAAATATTAATAGGTTTAAAAATTATAAAATAAACACAAATACTTATTAGGCTACAAAAAAATAGAGAGGAGGTGCATGTGACTAGGAGATAGAGAGAGGAGGTAGTGCAAGGTAGAAGGGAAACAGATCGACTGAAGAAGACATGGTTGGAGTGTGTGAATGATGATATGAGAGAGAAAGGAGTGAGTGTTGAGGTGACGGCTGATAGAAGACAATGAAAGAGAAAATTCGCTGTGCGGACCCCATCTAGTGGGATAAGGTGGAGACAAAGAAGAAGATTAAAATAAAATACTTATCATCTTGAGACCAGAATATGTTTATCAGAACTAAGAAATTGAATTCCACAATCTGTGAATAGGCACTAGAACAATTGATTATTTTGAGAATTGATTATAATTATTACTTTAAATCATTTGATCTTTTTACTTGCTCTTTGATTCTTTGTGTATTAATATATCAAAACAGTTAAAAATGCATTTAACTAATAAAAACATGTCCTTACATTACATTATTTCACTTACATTTATTATCACATGATTCCGTTCAAAATTTTCACATAAACCCTTTGCGGTCCTAAGACTAATGTAAGACTAAACTCTATGACTAATTGGTGAGGACTCTGGACCTAAAAGGGTTAAAAATGTTCCAGTGTACAAGAAGCAACATACATAATAATTTGTCATTATAATCTGTCATTTTTATTTGTATTTTCTAAATCGCGAGCTTTAAAATTGAGTATAGAATTTGTAAGTTTTAGTTCAGTCTGAGAGACTTGCAAGTGGTTGATGTAGCTGTGGTGGTGATGCAATAGTATAATGTAATAATATAATATAATATTAGGTCCTTACATATGAAATTGGCGTTTTGTACGGGAGGAATATAAAGTAATTTTTTTTTATAATATTATTATATTTAATTAATCAAAGTATGCACCGTTGTTATCTATGCACTTTTTCCATCTCATAGGTAGTTCAATGGTTTCTTTACTAAAAAACCATGGGGCGAGAATCAAAAATGAGAATCTTTCAAGGTGCTTTGGAGCGCTTTTTTTTCTTGTAAGAAGTTGTCCAAATTCCAGATAAAATGGTAAGCTGTTGGAGCAAGGTCCAGGGAGTACAGTGGATGTCACAGACATTCCAATTGTAGCTCATCTAACTTAGTGGCTGTTTGTTGTGCAGTGCGAGGTCTTGCGTTCTCGTGAAGCAGCAGTGGCCTGGAGTGATTGATCAATCTCTGTTGTTTAGCAGCTAGTTCATTCTTCATGGTTTGCAGTTGCTGACAATAGATATCTGCCGTAATTGTTTGGTCAGATTTTAGAAAGCTGTAGTGAACGACACCGGCG